CGAAACACACGCGTACGATATTCGTAACGTCGAAATTGTTAAAATTTGTCGAACAAAAACATCGTTTATACCGCAACGGTGAAGAGCAGGAGAAGTTATAGCGTGTAGAGTAGTCGTAACCACAGAACGCCTACGTCGTAACGGCATATATTTCACTGCTCTAACCATTTCGCTTCGCTAGTCGAGCTCGAACGTGTTGACGGCATGCGGCGCTCCGTAATACCTACTGTGATTGGGATACATGCAATGCACAAGGAAAACTATGCTTTTACTTTGAGCTCGCTGAAGAATATCATATAATGAATACAACCAAAGTGACTTACGAGCGTGAAAAAAAAAAAAACATTAACGCACGGCGTGAAGAGCAACTCGATCGCTGCTCGTGAATCAGCAGCTGATCGTTCATCCTCGCTGTCACTCTCTGAGTGCGATCTACGTCCAGTGAAAAATTCTCGACGTAAAGACGGCTTCTTTGAACACCACTGGAATCCGAGGAATTCTCTCCTCCGAACGACTTCGATAACATCAACCACGCGTCACTCAGGCCCTGGAAAACCAATTGGCCACCCTGGACCAGGCCCGGCGAGCCCCTATATCTAGTGGCGCTCCAGGCGAAGGGCCCCACCCTGCTTTAGTTACCGACAGTACAAACAAACGTTTATTTTCTCTCTCTCACCACGCACAACATGAACACGTCACTGACTCTCCACGTTTATCTAGGCCAACGCCTCATGGATTGGATTGGATAAACTTCTATTTGGTCCTCCAAAACACAGATCACTGTGTTGTGGGCAGCTCCCACGTGGGGACTGAGATGCCAAGCTCCTCAGCCGCCTCGCGGGCTTGGTGGACAGCCCAGAGCTGATCTGCCAAGGACGAGCTGCGGGTTGCCGCCTCCCATCTGGCAGAGGTGATGTGCGATAAATGAGCGAATTTGGTGCACTGCCAGAGCATGTGTTCTAATGAAGCTATTTCCCCACAATGTGGACAAATATTACTTGGGTATAGGTCAGGGTACATGGTGTGTAACATTTTCAAAGTAGGGTACATCCGCGTTTGCAAAAGCCTTAATGTAAGTGCTTGGGGCCGGGTTAGATTTTTGTGAGGTGGAGGGAAAATCCTTCTAGACAGGTAGAAATGTTTAGTGAGCTCGTTATATGTTGTAAGAATTTCCCGGTTATCTCCTTCACCGGTAGAACGCATCCCCGGGGAGGCGCGGTTGGAGAGTTCTCGCGCCGCCTCGTGTGCTGCTTCATTGTGATTGGGAGGGGAATCGTTCATTTGCCCAAGGTGAGCTGGGAACCAACTCAGAAGATGATGCGTTATGTTCTTGCCTTGCAGTATTCTCAGCGTTTGTCCCCTTGGCGAACGACCGTAGTGCTGCCATGGAATCACTGTAGACAACTTCAATGTTATCCATCTTGAGTGCTAAGGCGATGGCCACCTGTTCCGCAATGATTGGGTCTTTCGTCCTGACCGTCGCCGAGTTGACGACATGGCCAGCCCCATCGACCACCACTGCCACAAACGCTGTCCCATTGGCGTTGATTGATTGATTGTGGGGTTTAACGTCCCAAAAACACCATATGATTATGAGAGACGCCGTAGTGGAGGGCTCCGGAAATTTCGACCACCTGGGGTTCTTTAACGTGCGCCCAAATCTGAGCACACGGGCCTACAACATTTCCGCCTCCATCGGAAAATCCCATTGGCGTAGGAAGCCGCGTCAACAAATACGACCCCTCGTTCCTCGTTTGAGACTTGTCGAAGTATAGTCCTGGCCCTCGCTACTCTTCTTCCGACGTTGTATTCTCGATGCATGTTTCTTGGTATAGGAGACACCGTGATATTCTCCCGGATGTTTTCGGGGATATCATTGTAATTGCGTCTGATTGCCATTGGGTGTTGGCCAAGCTCCTGCAGGATCATTCTCCCCGACCTTGTAGTAGATAACCTTGCAAACTGTGCTCTCTCGGGCTTCTGCTATTTCCTCGAGCGTGTTGTGAATGCCAAGATCAAGCAGACGCTCGGTGCCGGTATGTATGGGTAGGCCCAGGACCTTCTTGATAACTTTCCTTAGGAGCACATTCAGTGTCTCGGACTCTGCTCTTGACCAGTTGTGCATTGCTGCCTCGTACGTGAAGTGGCTTACAACAAACGCATGCATCAACCTGATGAGGTTGTCTTCCTTGATCCCATTTCTTTTGTTGGCCACTCTGCGTATGAGGTGAACTGCACTGTCTGTTTTCCAAGTTAACTTGGCTATAGATTTGCTGTTGGCACCGGTAGACTCTATCAGCATGCCCAGGACTTTGATGGAGTCGACCCTCTGGATGGCATCCCCTTGATTTGTACGGAGGTGGATGTCTATCTGGTTTAACGGCTTCCATCCCCTGAGCTTCGGTCCCCGGCGTGCAGTCCGATACAGTGAAAGTTCTGACTTACTCGAGGAGCACTAGAGCCCGGAAGGAAGAAGGTACTCTTCTACGGTGTCAATTGCCTCTTGCAGAGCGCTCTCAATCTTCCCCTCGCTTCCACCTGTGCACCAGATGGTAATGTAATCTGCGTAGATGCTGTGCTTCAATCTTTCAATGCTCGATAATTTCTTTGACAGTCCAATCATGGCAATATTGAACAGCATTGGTGAAATCACTGCCCCTTGCTTCTAGTTCGATTGCTGCTGTCTCGATATCTGCAATCTTCATCACGGCTTTCCGATCTGTAAGAAAGGACCATACATAGTCATAGAAGGCTTTCCCCAGACCAAGCTTGGAAATTGCTTCGAGTATGAATGAGTGGTGGATGTTGTCAAACGCTTTTTCTTGATCTAGGCACAGAATGGCTCTCACGTCTGTGGTTTTATTGTCGATGACCTGGTGTTTCATAACCTTCAATGCATCTTGTGTGGATAGCCCTGCCCTGAATCCAACCATATTGTGTGTATATATGTCGTTATCTTCCAAGTACTTGTTTATCCTGTGCAGTATGGCATGTTCTGCAATCTTGCCGATACATGATGTCAAGGATATTGGCCTCAAGTTGTCCAAGTTAGGGGGCTTTCCTGGCTTAGGAATAAGGATCATGCTGGCCAGCTTCCACTGCTCTGGCACCCTGCCTTCTTTCCATGCTGCATTGATCATATCCTTCAGGGTTTCAATTGAATTGTCATCAAGGTTACGAAGGGCTTTGTTTGATATACCCTCCGAGCCAGGGGCCAACCTGCCGTTGACATCATGCAAGGTTCTTCTGATCTCCTCGATGTTAAAGTCGCCCTCAAGACCTGGATCGGGCCTGCCCTGGTACTGTCTACTTGGTGGTGCCAATCCTTTTTTGAACGCCTCATGGGTGCGGAGAACTATTCGAGCCTCTGGCACAAAGTAACATAGTAAACGTTTACTATGTCACTCTATGCCTCTGATGCCCGGCAAGACGCGAATCGCCAAGGAGGTTATACTAAAACTCTTTAGTACAACCTCCTCGCGTTGCCACCTATCAATGAACGTAAAAACCAAGCGGCGCAGCGTTGGTCAAGGTTTGACAAAGCAAATCGCGAGCCTGCGCTACTTTCCACGTACATGAAATATTATTATTATTCACTACAAAAGCACTGACGAATGCTGTATGCACGTAAAGCAAGGCCAGTTCAAATGACAAACATCAGACGATAACATCATCCTATCCAACGTGGCTGCAGAAAATCTTGCGATGCTATTGCAACGCCCTAGAGAAGGCACTGCCATGGCCTATAGGAGGCGCGCCGTGCTTTCCAAGACTAGAGTTACTGTATATGCTGTATATTTCATTGCATATTTCATTGCTCTAGCCATATCAATTGGCTGGTCGAGCTTGAGCGTGTTGGCGGCATGTGGCGCTTTGTTATATTCACTGTAATTTGGCTGCATGCAATGCGCAAGAAAATCCATGCTTTTATTTTGAGCTCGCTGAAGGATATTATACAATAACAAAAATATTATCAATAACAGTGCCCTACTTATGCACAAGAACACGCACCGCAGTAGGACATTTTCAAAATGACCCCGATGACATCAGACGCACCGCCTACAATTAATCACTAGACTTACGAGCGTGAAAAAAACATTAATGCATGACGGGACGTGAACTGCAACTTGCTGCTCGTGAACGAGCAGCTGATCGTTCATTGTCGCTGTCACTCTCAGTGCGTTGACAACCATCTACGTCCAGCGAAAATCCCCGACATCAAAGACGGTTTGTTTGAACACCACTGCTGAAAATAATCTGAGGAATTCTCTCGGCCGTACGACTTCGATAGCATCAACAACGCATCCTTTACCACACACAACACCAACACGACATTGAGAACATTTCGCTCCAATACCCGGCAAGAAAGGAATCGTTTGCAGTGTGCTGCCATCTATCAACAAACATTTAAAAAACAAGCAGTGCAGCGACAGCGTTCGCCAAGGTTTGGAAGCGCAAATCGCGAGCCTGTGCTTTTTTCCATGTAAAATGAATGTTATGGGATGAATTCATACTAAAGCACTGACAAACGATATCCGCATGTAAAACAAGGCGAGTTACAACTGCAAAGGTCAGACGATAACATTTGACTATACAACCCTGCTTCGGAAAATCTCATGAGGCTTATATGTGTATCGAGAGCACGAGTCACCACGTATTTTCAGGAAAACTTCGCGTCTCGCGAGAATGAATAAGATTTATCGCATCATAGACAGTACGGTATATTTACTAATGCACGAAACATACAGTGGTTTGTCTTCGTTTCTTGCTAATGCATTAACACTGAGTACAACCTAATAAGAAAGCGTCTGCCTACTGATCATCCGGTCCTGAATTCCGCTAGGCAGCAGGACAGTTTATGAACATTGCGATATTGCATATATACATCGGACAACAGTAAATGCCGGGACAGTCCCAGAATTGTCATAGCACTGCTGACTGAAAGCTGTGCTTCTTACTCATATGAAAGAACAGCTCGCAAAATGATTGAGCAGGGGAAATAGAAAGCTAAAACAATTATTTATTCAATGAAGTTCATGCGCAAGCACTATTCACAAGCTAAACCGTGCATATAAGAACATTTGCTGTAACAGAAATGTGTGGAACTGTTGTACGTACAAAGATTAAGCTGCCACGACTGCTGGTGCCATAAGGACGTTTCCAGCAGAGGCCCAAGTTAACAGATGAATAAAACATAAGCTGTGCTACAACGGTTGTAAACAAAAGAAGATGCAGGCAATCGCTTTGCCTGTTGGAAGACCTGCAAGACAGCAGAACTTTCTTGTTTCCTGATGTTTTCTCTGTGAACACAGAAATGGCCAGACATATTTATGCATGGTATAGGAACCATTAGAAAGGGACACTGCAATTCGTATTCAAAACCACCATCTCTTGAATATACCATAAAGTGCATGAAAATTTGCATTTAAAACCGTCATCTTTTGAATATACCATAAAGTGCATAAAAAGAAAAAGCTTGATTTGATGCATCAAGCTTCTTGCATAGATTAAAAAATATATTTTCAAGGCTGAGCCATATTAAGTTTGAAAGAATGCTTAGGTCTACAGTTCAACAAGTGCAAATGTGGCTGTACTGCTGGTACATACGGCATATTGTTTGGATGCGAGGATCACACAACTTCAAAAGTGATTCTTGAGAACAGGCACAATAAAACACACTGAAATAAATACATTTCTCAATGCCGGGTGGGCACAAGTCTTGAAAGATATAATAAATAAAGACGATGTAGTTACAAACAAAAAGCCTAGCCACAGAAAAAGTAAAGAACGCCTCATGTATGCTCCACTGGTATGTCGTCATTTTTTTAGCTATAAGAAAGAGCTATGGGTTTGAAAAATGTACGGATGTTCGGGGTTATAGAATTAAAGCCATGGGTAGATCTCAGCAATTAGGATGCGTGTTGTGGTCAGGAAAACAGCACACTGCCCTTTAATTGCTTGTTGAGCATGCACAATGATTACATTGAATAAGACCTAATGTCTGCACATATATAAAAGAATGACAAAAACTGCTTCAATGAGCTGTTAATCATGCATCCTTTTACGATTATTCTCTTCTACCAGAGCACTGTTAATCATAACGGTGTCAAATAAAAAAAAATTGAGAAACTGTAGACCGATCTCACAATTTAAAGAATGTTTTGCCAAAATTTGCATCACATTTGTCTTAGAAAATGTGACAGAGCTTTCATTTCACTTCTCAATAATATCTAAAAGTGAGATTCCTTGTTTCTAGCCCTCGTATGCGTTACAACAATGAAGCGTACAAATTTATTTCGCTTTGGTCAGCAAAAGTTGTGGTGGTTTCAAGAACGGTGGCAGATGTCCCTACAGTGGTTTTAATGAGGCATTTGGTGGTTTCTTGTACAAGTGTCGGCGTGCAATTTTCTTTTCCTTCTTTAGCTGTAGCTGGTATCACAGTCTGTATTGCCCATCTATACTATACACAGGTATCATTTCTTCGTGTGACCATCGCTCATCAGCTTCTCGTAATGCTGCAAAAAAAAAAGGAATAAAGTCATGTTAAAACTTGGACTGCACTCCCAAGAGTTCACTGTGAGTCAGACACAATAAACAGCGATTTCAAATTAAGTGCCTTCATTAAATTAGGCTACCAAAAATGAAGAGAAACAATGAAGAAACAATGGTGAATGGGCGATGAGTCCCTCAATTCTGTCCTCAGCTATGCTGAATTGCAATTGCAGACGCGGAGCAACTTTTTCCACTCTTTCTGAAACAAATTTGTTCCCATAGTGAAATGACAGCACAAGTCTGCACATTCCGAAGAGAGAGTCGGAGATGAATTCACAGTAGACCAGTGCGCTGGTACATACTAAAAATTGCCGACGGCGGCGCCCCGGTGGTTCCACCTTCAGCAGTGGCGCGACGTGGGGCATAGGTGGGTAGATTTAAAAGTTGGTCAGGACAGAAATTTGTCCCCAGATTAAAAAAAAAAACTCTGTTCCTCCAAAAGGGGCAAAGCAGTTAACATGATAGCAATATGTCTTAATCTTATTTATTTACAAATACTGCTGTCTCAGTTTTTGAGACATACCAGGTGTAATTACAGATGTTCAGCATCTTGAAAAATACAATTTAGCAAACTATATGTCTACAGAATTCTTTTTCAAACGGTTCAGCACAGAGTCTGTGCAGACACTTATCAAGCTAATTCCATAAACCCATGTCCTGCGGGAAAAATAAAACAAAGCAATTCAGAACATATTTAACCGGTACAATATTTAGAAAACCAGATCGGCCCATACCAGCAGCAGGGCTTTTTGCACATGCAAGGAAACACTTAGATCATATACAGCTTTGTTGTAACCCCACAATAATCAAATTGCGGCAGCCAACAACCTTGGCCACTAGACCACCATGGCAGGTCGTTTGTAACACCAGTGTAGAGGTAAATGAGCCAAATGAACCTAACACAGTCACACACGAAGCTTTCAATTCAATTCGAGCAGCTACGGCAATTAATATTGACAGCTTGGCGAGGCAGTATATCAGCTGGTAGAGCTCAACAGCAAATGTCAAGACAAAATGAAATGGCCGCGTGGCAGAGACATTACTACTTCTGGACACACATATGCGAACGCTTCAATGTCACTTTTACAAACCTTATGAATCGACAAATGCAGCATAAAAGGCACTGTGTGTCACGGAACAAGAAAACACATTCATAATTAGTTGTGCTCTTGTAAATGATGCATCACTGCAATCATGTTTACAAAATACAAAACACAAAGCATACGAGATATATAAACGTGAAGTACTACAAAACTTTTGAAGCTTCTACACTGCTTTTACGCAGGGAGAAGCAACTGTGTGAACGGAAAATATGGCACGCCATGAAACTGCTCAGTAAGCCATGCCCGTATGCAATGTATACAATGAAAATCGTAAACAAACAAGACGGCAAATGGCCATCAACAGTAGTATGCTGTAAAATATCAGGCAGAAAACGAAACAGTCAGAGAAATTGTGGCTGAGGCTTGCAGATTGTATGTTTATATTTCCAAAAAGCCTCTTGACATTCCGGTTCACCGTAAAAAGGTTTGCATTTATGCTTTGAAAACACACACGCACACACACACACATAAGAATTCGAGCTGAGGCATGCAGGAGCCCACAAGTTGGTCAACTCTGTGTATTTCAGTGCGGGTATAGCATTCCAAAACCATGATACGAGATACGCCACAGTAGAGGGCGCTGGAAATTTTGACCACCTGGGGCTGTTTAACATGAACCTAAATCTAAGCACACGGGACTCAAGCGTTTTCGCCTCCATCAACGATGCTGCCTAGGTGGTCTGCAGTTGAGCACCAAAACCAATAAACAACCGTGACGGGCGCAACCGCCGACTCCTTTGCGACCACCAAGAAGACAAGAAAACTGGCACTACTACAGGTGATGCCGCAGAGCTGCATTTCCCTAAAGCCGTGCAAAAAATGATTTAAAATTGGCTTGGGGTGGCTTTTCATACAAAATCCCAGATAGTCAGGTTTGAAACTACCGTTAAAATGCTGCCTGTAGTGTGGACATGCTGCTTTGGCTAATAAGGCAAGCCTCAATGCAGTCATGCCACAGAGAATGGGAAAAGCAAGAACTGATGCATGTATGTTAGTAAACAACGGTTCACCGTAAACCTAGAAAATATAGTGCCACCTTCTGTATACGAGATTAATCTTAAAAAATAAAGGGCAAACTACCAGCAGAACTCTGCAGTGGGTTGGTTATTGGTTGAATAGTCTAAGGTACAACAACTATCAAAATTAAATTCTGAGGTTTCATGAGCCAGAACTGTAAATATGATTAAAAGGTACACTCTAGTGGGCTCATTACTAATGTTTATCGCCTTGGATTGTTTAATGTGCACCTCAATTTAAAGTACTCGTGCACTTTAGCATTTCACTACAATCAAATTGCAGCTGCCATGGCTGGGAATCGAGCCAGTGTCTCAAGAGTGCAAAAATAACTGATTCTCTTCGTGTGCAATGGACGCACTGACACGTGGCAAGAACGCACCGGTTTCACTGTTCCGACATAATTTTACTCATTCCTCACTCTTAACAGTCTGCATGAAATTTAAGGTACACTAACGGACTATTCGGTACGAATTTCTACAAACCTTGAGTATGGCCATGTCACAGTTTGTGAGCTCCTTCTGCTTGGCGAACGCCTTGGATTCCGTTTTTCGGGCACTGGCCGTCAACTGGACCCACATGTGAGCCACATACTCAATGTCTGCTAGCACGCTGGATGCGAACAAAAATAAAAAAAGAGCAAACACATGTTTTCCAATGACTATTTCAACTGGTAGACAAATCAGTATGTATATATGGTTTAGTTTCTGAAAGCAGTAGTACTGCCAAGGACATAACTAGTACTGCAGATTACCTTAGCCTATCTAGCATCCTTTTTAATATGCATTGAAAATGAAGTACAGTGGTGCACTTTTATTGTGCCTGCATCTATTATTTCTATAAAGAGGTCTCCAAGAAAAAAAAGGTCAGTTCAGCTGTATCAGTAGATTATCCTTCAACATTACCAAAAACGCCAATATGTCAGCCTCTAAGCTCAGCACAAACAATATTGAGGGCGTTTGCAACTTCAATGATGAGCGGAGCAAAGTACCTTGAGATCACAGCCAGTAGAGCTTCATTTTCTTCAAGCAGTCGTATCCTTTGGCTTGTCTGCTTTAGGAGTACACCCTACAATGCCAGAAGTATCAATATTTTGTTACATGTACAAAACTTATTGGACCAGCACTTTCAGAATACACGATAAAATGCATATGACGCTAAGCATCAATTCACTCAACTGTATTACTAAATTATTACAGTTGTATGCATAGTTGCATGTATGTGAGACCAAAATATTGGTCCACAGTATGTTTAATCGAATTAATAAATAAATAAATATTATCGACCATCTCCCCAAAGGGAACCATGATGGGATGCGAAGCAGCAGTGGTGCACAGGCCGTTGACCCGGCTGAAACCGGTGTAGACGCGGGTGCTGGAAGATCGGTTTGAAGCGAAACTCGGTGTAGCTTTTACTCGAGCAAATTTTTTTTGAAACGCAAAGACACAGGAGGCAGATTTGGTTTCGCATAAGTTTCATCGCAGATAAACGAGCTGAAAGAGTGATTCACTCGATATGCGGTTGAGCGTTGTGGGCAGTGGAGAGGGTGAAGCGAAAGAGAAGTGTGTTGCGAGCGGGCGGAGGAGCAACACCACCTAGGTGTGTTGGGAGGAGCTGGCCGCTGCTGCGGGTGAAGGAGAGAGTGATGTTTACGCGCAGCTGCGACTTGACCTACTTGGCATCTTTCAAACAACTGCTACGGGGGGGAACGTGGTGCAGCGCATTGGCACGGAGACACGGACGGACGGCATTACACAGGCTAGTCAAAGAGCTGCTTCGCATCAAATAAAACAGTTCAGTACAGAAAAGGTAGGCATAATTAATAACCACCGCCTAGTACACCTATTGACACAAGGCCTACAAGCATCTGTTATGACAACCCTTTCTTCAAAGGGCTTAATATCAGCAGAAGCCAACAAGCATCTCAGTTTAGACAGCTAATTTCCCATTTGCAGACATTCTTGCAGCGCGTTGTCGGAATAGGGAACATTTAGGTCCTTGCAGTTCAAAGTTAAGAGTAACAAAAAGCAATTCCGAACTTTTGCTAAGGCAGACAATTGTTGCTGCAAGACCCCCCCTTTCTTTTTCTCAATACTATCTCAAACCTGGCAGAGAAGAACGATATCTCAGCCACATGCTTGGAAGATCAGAAGCCCACTCACACCATAACATGGGCCGGTGAAGTCACTCATCTCAACATTGAGCACAGAAGCTTTTTTCTGAAAACAAAACAAACAAAGGAAAGGAAGCAAGCAGGAAAAGCATGTCAATATAATCATTGGTTATCAGAATATAGAATACATATAGTACAAGTATGTATTGCAATTAACATTTCATTGAAAATGAAATACCCCTGCAACAAAGCACAGATAAGTTTTGGAACACAAACGAAATTGCACGCACAGTTTCTTACATTAAATTTCAAGAAGGGTATACAGTCAGCTGCCGATTTTTCGGACACTCGAATTTTCAGACATGCCCGATTATTCGGACATCTTCGCGGCACCGCCACGAGCCCCATAGAACCAATGTATAAGTCTGAAATTTCGGACACTCGAACCCCCCGGAGTCCAATTTTCCGGCCTTTTGACGCGACGGTAGGTCGGAAACCACCACTGACCTCCAGAGGAAACCACCACAACTGCGTCACACGCGATTACGATCGCATAAATGAGCGCGCCGGTCTACTATGGCGGCATCTGTTGCTTGGACTCGTTGATCGTTAGCGGAGAAACACACATGGCCTCCGAGATTCCTAACACTGGCCGTGTTTATCGTGCAAGGGTGCTTCGCTCACAATAGAAACTATCCACCCGGAAATTTTTTGCCGCCAATAAAGTTCCTTTTGCTTTAGCGCTTGTGCTCGTGCGTGCCACTCTGGCTTCCCGCGCAGCGCTTTCACGAAGCGTTTCACCACTTCAAACTAGAACTAACCGTCACACACCGATTTGGTCTGGCCAAGCTGGCTATTTTGAATGTTTACCAGCGCCACTTCTCGAGTACCCGAGGCACCGTCGCCTGCCGTCGCGCCGTTTTGTTTACGCAGCCCACATGGTGTTTGGCTAGCCCAGTGCGTGGTTGTGCGATCGTGTGAAGTGTGTTCTGCAACGCTAAGCATAGGTGCTTCGACGCTCGTCAGCAAACTCCTTTGTTCACATCGAGAGGATTTCGCTTGCCTGAGATGGCCCCCACTCCGTCTTCGTCATCCTTGCCGATGGCATCGATGTGCGGAAAACAGTACCGTCGGTTAACGATGGAGAAGAACATGAAGAACATGATAATATCATGGACAGTATTATCAACGACCTCCGCTCTGCTGGTGCTTCCATGCCCACGGAAATAATTTTTCAGCGGTTCGTCGACGCTGACAACAAGCTCGACTTCTGCGCCCAGCTAACCGACAACAAATTGGTCAGTCAGGTTATAACGGATTCAGACGACTCCGATGTCGAAAAAGAGGAACCAACGCCTGCGCCACCTACGACCGGCGAATCGATGCGAGCATTGATGACGCTGTCATCGGTGTACAGTGATGACATGACCCTTGCTCAGATCGAGGCGAATGTGATCACATGCAAGCGGAACGCCGTTCAAACAAGAATCAAGTTTTTCAAGCCACTACAGCTCTAACACCGGCTGCCCTGACGACACCTGCTGTCGGCTGCATGCATCTTTTTAATGGCTCTTTTCAGAGCCACCCCACTGATGCTTTGGCAGAGTTCCCGAAGTCTGGTACTTCGACCTTGACCCTCTTGATCCGAGAACTATCAATGAAATGATGTGTTTTTTGCTTGCATTGAGAAATATTAGCAAAAGGGTGTGTTTTCTTTTGCTTGCATTGAAAATTATCAGTAAAATAATGCGTTTTTTTTTTTTTTGCTTGCATTCATATTTTCTGAATGCCCGAATTTTCGGACGGTTTTTCGCTCCTTAGGGTGTCCGAAAAATCGGCAGTTGACTGCATTTTCCTTTACACTGAGGAACATGAGTACACTCGATTTTGGATATATCGAACTTGAAGGGGATCGCGATATTGATAATTCTAAATAAAAATATGCATTTGTGGGCCTTATATTAATGCATTGTAACTCTCGAAGCCGCTTTGAGAAATCGTGATAAGCATCAATATGACAATTCGTTCACAGTATACGTGACAACTTCTTCTTTTGAAAGTTACCACAGTTCAATTTGCATGAGAAAGGCCCATAGACGTCTTTCCTCTTGCATGCCGTCAAGTTTATGAAGTCATCCTCATTAAACAAGTATTGAAGCTTCAAAAATAAGCCAATTCAGCACCTTCGGCTACAACAACACTGATCAACGATGACGCCAATGCAAGCTCTGTAGCGTGGTAAAATGTTCTTAAGCAGCTGCGATAGAATGTTTATAATCCCACGGGACCATTTCCGTGGCACTGTCAACGCCAGCCATGATATCAACATTGATGCAGCCAAAAACAGTGACCTCATCATCTGCACCGACAATGTTTCTTTCTGTACTTCAGTCCAATGTGTGGCCCGGAAATGCTAACAAATCGCGAAATTGAATGAGGCACTGCATGTCGTTTTCAGCTTTGACAGCGCAACCAGAGTCGTCACCTGTCGCCGAAGCCTATGAGGAAACTGCACATGACGCTGCTTTGCTGGACGTCGTTCCAAGCACCAGTCATCATTTTTATCACTACCTGCGATGCAATGTTTGGTTCGACTCTCAAAAGAAGATGCACCAGGATTGAAGCGAGAACTATTGAATTTGACAAGACGCAAGTTGCAACGCTGTTTCCAAACAGATGTCGACAGCACTAAGGGCTTTGCAGCTAGCGGCAAGTGGAAAGCAAGAAAAAGCGCAGTCTCGGAGATGTGTCTTTTTTTAGAACCAAGAAAGCCAGATATAGATCATAAGGTTTACAATCTTGAAGGCCATGCCTTTCGGACCCGCATGCCGTCGTGCGCGAATAAGGAAGGAAGCATGCAAAGAAGGGAGTGCAAACATTGCAAAGATGCCGCCGAGTCACTTCACATTCACATCCAATTTCAGTGCCCTTGGCAACTGGACCCCTTGAAAAACGCTATGTCCATGCGTAACAACCTATGACATATTGTGCATCACGTGCTGGCGCACTCACAAAAAGCACGACGCAACCAACGAATTACACCATCTTTATGTCACCTGCGCTTGACGAGAGATCCAAACTTGTTAAACGCGGCCAAAAAATGATCAGTTTTTGTCAGAATAAATGCACTTTCTGGGCTTCGGCCCAGCGAAGCGTTCGATATATCAGATGTCACGCTCGGTGGGAGTTCTATATCGCGCGCAACCCTCCCATACTTTTGCATGGGAAATTACAGGGGATTTATCAACTGCTCAATATAGCACATATTTCTATGTATTCGAGCGCGATATACCTGGGATAAAATGCCTTGTCATAAATAAACAACTATAACACTCACCGATGACAAACATTCGTGAAAAAGAGGCCTGTAATAATGACAGGAGTATTGAAAGAAAATAAAAAAAACTCCTATATTTACAGTATAGAGTATTTCTAAGCCATGTTTTTCTAGCATGGTCTCCAATTCCCTACTTAATTGAAGTCATAAGTATTGTGCAATAAGCCAGTTCGCTCACCCTGACTGAAGACGGCAGGCCAAAGTCTTTGGTTCGATGCTCATCAACATACCCTATCACCGCTGCCGAGTTCAGGCATGAGCTGTCCAGGGAGTCAAATCTCTGGTCCTCAAACCACAGGAAATCGCTGCATAACAAGACCGTACAAAGGAGCATCAAATGATGGCAGAAATTATGAACCACAATGTAGCAAAAACATGAATATTTTTCATTTCCCATAAATTTCTTTTGTCTGGCAAATTTGCACAGAACCCGTAGCTGCGCACACAATGAAGGTTGTAAGTGAGGGCCCAAAGCTCCACCTAATTATCAAAGAAGGTACCAGGTCACTGTTTCGATAACAGATAAATCCAAATTTGCAATGTGACAGAGGGTGCAAAAGACATGACCAAGAAGTAGTTTTGTGTTTTGAAAATCGTGGCTCTGAATTCATTTACATTGAAACAACTCTCTACATTATAAGTGCTCTCTTGTTGGTAAAATTAACACTGCACATAATTTGTGACACCGATCCCTCACATTAGCTTGGGCTTGTGTGTTAGCTCTCTGTTCACCTGCGATGGCACTGACAAACATTGCCCTTGATCAGAGCAAGAAACGATCCATCAACTGACCCGAACCGCCGGGGTGCAAAGAGAGCGAGAACCTTGGCACTGGCGGCAACCTCGTGCGCACTGAGGGACCTCCCCACCACGATGATTGGCCGGCCAATCAGCAACGAGTAGAGAATGTCCTCCACTTTCACCCGCCTGTTCAGCACTTGAAGAAATATTGCTTCTGCAAAAATGAAGCATAAGAGTCACATGTTAAGTTCCGACCTCCCGAAATAGGACAGTACTTAGAAAGAAATTATATGCCAAACCTCCAGTGCCTAGGTGCCACAATGCATGGTGTTGTATAATGCCCACCTCCGACATGATGTCATGGGCCCTCACTTTTCAAGTCATCAGTTGCTACAGTAGTAGCTTTAAGGGACCTATAATAGTTTTGACGATTCTGTATAAATGCATTTATATGGTAGAGCAATTTGTACTAAGATTCATTTACAGATGAATTTAAGCTCTACGAGTCAATTGTGTAATTTTTTACAAGACTTTAAACATGCCATTTCCTACAGATTGCAGTGGCTCAGCTGAAAGGGTTTTTGACTGTCTTTGTATTCCCAACATCAGATAATTTTTCGTTATGTCCAAATTAGAGCCAACTTTGAAGAGTGGCTCAAAAGCGCGCAAGTCTATGGCAACGAATCCCACCGCTGCCACCACTGTTGCGCCTTTGGGTAGCGTGGTGCGGACTCGGGCCATCCGAGTCCCCGGAGAGGACGAGTAGAGAAGCCGGAGAAGGAGAAAAAAATGTTTATATACAGTATTTACATGGTAGCGTGGTACACCGGCGACCTATCTGATTGGACATTTTCAGCCCACGAAACTAAACTACCGGTGGGAAGCAAGAGTCATCTGCCCGTATTACAATATGCTCCATGTGAACCTGAGCTGCGCGACAGTGTTTATCTCAAGGTTTCTCTTCTCGGATACCCTGAATCGCACTCGCTGAACAGTGTGCCATAAATCTAGGAACTGGTGACTTCCAAAGATGCGACATTGTGTAGCGCTTGTAAGGCATCTGGCAAGCGGAGTAGCTTCAGCTCATCAGCGCAGTGAGCGTCGGGCTCTTGTTATCCAATCAACGCCAGAATATCTGCAGCTGTAATTTCAACTTGGGCGACACCATCGCCTGACTTTACGCTTATTGGCAATCATTTTCAAATACAGTTGAATTCCTTTATAAGAGGCATGCTCTGGGCAGCCATTCTTGTCTTTTATATGAGCTGTTTCTTATAAGCAGGGTAATGTAAATGCATTTTTTTATTTAACTGCATTTTATTGTAGGCACACTGGTGCCTCTTATATCAGTGTCTCTTATAAAGGGGTTCCACTGTACTTTTTATTTGTTCGCATGCCTTTGTAGAATGTCGCCGTACAGGAGAATAAAATAAGAACAGCTGGTACTGTGGCAGCACCTGGCAGGGCAAATGCAAATCCCGCCAGCGCTTCATCTGTTGCCAGACAGCACGCACTCGGCATGCTCAGAGACACTCAAAGGAGCTCGACTCCTCAAGTACACTGCAGTCGCTAGCGGCGCCTGGCTGTGCAATGAGTTGAGGAGGCAAGGCAATGGTATGAAGGAAGGTGTAACTAGAACTGCCCACAGCTACCTTGGTGTAGGGTGAGTCGCTTAATTTCTGGTGGAAATGCTGACAAAATTTCAAAAATCATTTCAGGGTCCCTTTAATTGCAATGGGCATCATACAAGGTGTCCCGCATAACTTAAGCCGGAACATTGAAAAATGAAAGGCACTTCAGAGGCGAATTGAAACTAAACGTATACTATTTGCACTAGTCTATAGATACTCAAGTTATTTTTTTAAATTTTTTTAAACTAAATAATTATTATCTTTAATAACCTAATTTTTAAATTCTTGGCTTAAAACCCAAAATATCAACACTGAGCTGTAGAGCACTTTCAAAAACCACCGACTGCATTGTTTCCTGTACAATACATCTTGTGCTTTTTTTTTACTTCATATAAAGAAAGCCTGCGAAATTTCAAAAGAAGCCGTGCGATGGGCCATGGGTGCACTTATATAACGCTGCTCTCAAGCGTGCAATCGGTGAATAAGGTCACCTGTGGCTGCCACGGGGAAGTGACAAGGTGCTTTCAAGGCGGCCGATATTTGGGCGTCACATAGCACAGCAAGCAGCCTGCTATTCATAAGAAATCTTCAAAGTCAGCTATAGAATATTGCTTTCACTTCTCTTGACAAACAACACTACAAGCTCAAAAATCACTCGTCCCAGCCATTAGCTGATTTGAGCAGGGCACTCGGTGATTACTGGGGTCACCGCAGGAAGCCGCGACTTGCACACAGGCAACCGCTCAAAAGCCGCACATTCGAAGGACAAAAAAAAAAGAAAAGAAAAAAAGAGAAGTGCTCAAGGTCACGAGGCGCACGGGACGTAATTTCTTTCCCTGAGCCATCCTTCCCCGTTTAACTTGCAGCGCTTTCGTCAGAACAAGAAAAGAGAGAATGCGATTTCAGCGTGCGATAAATCTTTGCGTATTGCGACAAACCAGGCACACCTATCACACCCCTGTAAGAAAACAACTGAACTAAGAAAAAAAGACGGCACTCGAAAGGGTGAGAAAGGAGTACTAATAAAAACAGGAGATGATTCCTAGCATTATTTCTTTGCAAGTACGCCTCAATAGGCTCTTCAATAGCGGAACAGTAAATCAACTGGCATATAAAATTAATGGTGCCAGTGGTGCAGTCACCTTTTAGCTGCAATTATAAGTACAATGACCTTGGTAAGCACATGTGAAATAAAAGTGAACTATACGCTGATATTCTTGCTGGAAGCTCCAGTTCGAATGAATGAGACCAAATATATTGTTAAAAAAAAGAAAAAGACAATTTCTTCTCATTGCAGCACATACTTCTGAGAATAAGGGACAAGTGCATACTGACCAGACCCATCATGGACACAAATCTGCAGGGCATCCCACTGTTTTTCCAGTGTTAGCCCATGCCTGCAAGTCAGGAAAAGAAAAAATCAAAAATTTCGAATAACAACAACTAGCGTAGCTTTTACTTATTCTATTAGCTACAAATACGGGACTAACCTATTCTGTATAAAGCATATGTACACATAACTGCAATGTTTACTAGTGTAATCAATCTATAATGGCAAAAGATTTTAGCAGTTGTTTTTGGGCAACCAGCTGTCATAATTTTTTTTGCTCTTTGAAACTCTTACAACAGGGCAGAAAAAGAAGAATAAACGAACTTGAACAAACCATAACCAAATAACACTAATATTACTACTTTTTCAACAGTTTTTTTGTAATGTTAAATGCCCTGTCTGTTAGCCTACCATACAGTTTGTACATGACACTAACTTCTATTATTTAACTTTTAAGAGAACTTTGAATAGATAAAAACATGTTCTAGTTTCTGACACTGCTGATTTCAACTAGCAGTTGATGGTAAATGTATAACAATTAGTTATGAAAAAGCTAATTATCAAATTACATTTCAATAGGGCTAAGCAAATATTTGAACTATTGAATATTTTCTAGTAGTATTTGCAATTGAATTAACAGCAACTATTATTATTCAAAATATTCCAACTTCTGGAAAAAAATTACAATGGTTCCATTGTTAAAAATCAAATTGTAGTGCTTCAAGATGATGCACGTGAATCCAATTCTTTTTGTAAATATTGACCTATTATAAATGCTAATGGCTGTCATAGCATCATGGCTCTATTTTAGAACAAGCAGCTCGATTACTGCGCTGACCAGAGGAGTAAAAAAGTACAAAGCGCGGCATCAACCAATACCCTACTCGAGACTGACTGAAACACGAACCCAATGTTCTGATAAGAAAAAAAAAGATAGACGCAAGTCACCCTTACGGAAAAGTAATTATTCTGCAAGAAGTTCCTTTTCTTAAGTGATTCAGTTAGATTGTGTGCCGATTCACAGGGTAGTTACCTTGACAAGCTCAGTCGACACAGAATCGCTTGAAAATGCCTGCAAGTTTAGTCATCAAGACTCGGACATTTTTCCATTTTGGGCTCGTAGAAACATTCCCCGGTGGACATGTGCAGCTGATGATCTCCCTTTGTTTGCACCACTCACGGGCACAGGTTTCAAGCACACAGAATAGACATGACATAGCTGTCCTCAGCGGGCGAAATAACTTTCTTTCTATATGAGCACGCGCCATTTTCCCTTTGCTGGAAACAAGTTCTGATGCAGAAAGACCTTAGCCAAGCACGAAATGCAGCTGTGTGGGCTAGCAAGCGGGCTAGCTATAAAATGAGCTTGCCTCTTGCGTTGGCGATGTCACTGCATATGCCAATGACAGTCAGCTGCTCTTAATCCCTCGAATGTGGCTCTTTGTTTCATACATTGACAAAATCTGCAATACACACTTTCCCAGTGATGTCTTAGTGCTGCGAAATCAGCCTGCCATATAAAACTGGTTAGTACCATTCTGAAAATGTCGAAATATCAAGTTTCCAGGCTTGAGAAAATACTGCACATTACGGTTCAGTTTTTTACACAGTGGGCAGTGAACAGCCACGATAACTACAGGTTACAGTGGAAAAGAAAGTGTATTGCCTTCAGCCAGGTTTTTCAGTACACAATGTCAGTGAAATCAAGTAGTTAATGCACGACTTTGTGAGAAACAGTCGAAGTGGAAATGACAGTCCCCTTTTCCCCTTTATACTTACTGACAATCTAACAATACAGTAGCAAATGCAAAACAGTCCGAGTCAAATGTTTTATGCAGACACACCAGCTTCTGCACGAACTGTTCCATTTTTTTTTATATTCCAGTCATGGTGAATTTATACAATAGTGGCTTCTACTGATATGTTAACCTCACTGAATACAGTTTAGCACCTTATACTGGTTAATGTTTTGTTTATATGCAACATCAAACATGATTAAAGAAAGGTGTCAGAAAATGCAAATCTAAGGCATTAAAAAAAGGCAATAAATGATATGAATGGGAAACAAGTGAAGTTCACTAACATGGAGCAGTCTGCAGGGTCAGCACATTCTTCATCCCTGCTCCAGTAGTTCCTTTCCCCTGTTGAAACCGACAATGACAAAACATCCATAAGACAACCGAACATAATATGTGAAAACAAATGTGCAACACATTGGCTAGAAGTAATACAAGAGCTATAAAGGGGCCCTGCAATACCTTTAAAAATACAAATAAAATGAATTCAGCAAAGGAGCTTATTGCATCAGAAAATGACTACCGCAAGAACATTTGGAATCCATCCAGTACGAGCAGGCTTACAAAGATTTGTCGCGCGCTGCAACTGCCATGCCTCGCCTCATGTCCCGACGAAAGCACTGGAAGCTAAGCAGGGAGGACTGGCACAAGGGAAGAATGCACGTCATGCATGCCTCGTGACATTGTGCCTCTTTTTCTTTCTTTTTTTTTCCCCTTCGAACAGGCAAATTTTCAGTGAGTTGCCGGGTACACGAGTGGACCTCTTCTGGCTGCCCCAGTAACTCCTGAGCGCGCTGCGCTCAAATCAGGCAATGGCCTGATGATTGGACATGTGAGGCAACAATTTCCAGGTATACAGCATCATTTGTCCAGAAAAGAGAAAGCAATTTTTAGCAGACTTTGAAAACTTATTGTATATTCCAGGTCGTACGGTACACCATAATATTTGGCTCGCACGTTCTGGGGAGCCTCAACTATCGGCCAGCAGCGTTTTCTGACTGTGCTCAAAAAGTATTGCAGGGCCCCTTCAAAATAAGTTTCAAGAGGACAAAAAAAACACAAAGAAACATTAGGCAGACAAGGGCGGTTAAGATACCACCCCTAAACGCTCGAAGACTTGTCTAGTGCCAAGAAAATATTCACCATATAAAAAAATCACATATTGAGGGCCTCTGGCATAATCCAAATTGCCCGCTTCCATACAGGGAGTTGTACCATAGCTTACATGTCACCACTTATCACTATCCTACAGCCACAATGCATTTCCTTGCAAAACATGCAAAAGGACGACACAGCAGCAACCTGCAACATGACAGATGTGTAGGACTGCGCGACTATTCCAATGCTTCGAATATCTGAATAAGTAATGCATTATTTGATTTACTTCAATTTAAACTTAAACTGTTGAAAATTTTGAACTATTCGAAACAAACAAATAATCGCACATTAGTTCGCATGTAACACCCTGTAAAGATGGTTTCACTGTACTGGAGGCCACGACTAAGCCATGAAAACACATATCCACGAAAACACATATCCACGAAAAATCTGCAGTGCCACAAAGCTCCACTTCAAAGTTAAATGAAGATGTTATCCTCACATTGATTGATTTTTTTTCTTTATATCAACTTATATGCTATAGGTATAGCCAATTTCAAAACATAACATATTTTACAGGCTGTCACTACCATTCTACCAAAAGTGAAATCCTGCTACTATTCAAAGTTGATATTTGCAAAGGCCTTGTCTCAATTTCAAGACTATACTGTGCAGGTTAGTTAGGCCATGACAATTATGCCCATTAGTCTTTATATAATGCGATACATATATACTATTCAAATTCTATTCGAAATTATTTGACCAAAATCACTATTTGCTGCGAATTCTCTCCGAACCAAAAATTCACTATTCGCACAAGCTTACGGGTGAGGAATTTTCAGTTACTTGCCAATAGAATGAGTTACACGAGCAAGTTAATTCGTACCAACACTATCCAATAAAAAAAACCTACTAAAACACGATTCTGCAAACAGCACATAGCTCAATGAAAATTTAACTAGTCGCCATCATCCGTGTGAAGAGTTACTTCCAAAAGTTCTTTTTTCCAGGAATCACATAGAAATATATAAGTAGCATTTCATCACGCCTTACAACGTGCTGCAAAGTAGCTTTTATTGTAAATCATAGTGCATTTTAGTAACAGGATTACACTCAGATGCCATGTCAGTAGACCAGCACTAGAACACTCCAATGGAGTTTGAGGTCACGCACCAAATATACCTTGGTTTCTTAATCACTTGATGACTTCAGGATAATAACATCATCAGAGGCTTTCTCAACTATTAGTCTATCCCTGTAATGTAGAGCATTATTTGCCTTTAGTGTCTTTAAAATGTAAAAACTGGGTTAGCAATCACCGAGTGAGTACTGTATGTCGGAGGATCATGTTATGCAATGTTACACGGCTCATGAAGTATGAAAAGCTCACGCAAACTTACACACGCACACGTTCGGGGCTTGAACCTTTTCTAAGAGCAACAGTTAGTAAAAAACAAAAAAACAAAGAGACGAGGGTGAAAAAACGAGGAAACCATTATTAGTCACGTATGCACATGCTGGCAGAGAATGCAGTAGCGTGTAAATTGGGAAAAAAAAGCAAGTTAACCAGCTTGAGTGACGCAGCAGTTGTGATGCAACGATGTTGCTCGTTGGGCGAGTTGGAACAAGTCAGTCATAATGGTATTCAGTGCAAACGCTAAACATCAGAGAGACGGGAAGACGTGGACATAGGCATGTACATCCTCTCGTTTGTTTGTAATCTAGTGTTTACGTTAAATACCATCAAGTTGTAAGCCAGGCAGGTGCTGACTAATAAGACACACAGAAAACCAAGTCTAGACATTTACCGGGCTCTTCGATGTTATTCCCACTCCCACTGCATTTTCTTTGCCATAGTAACTGCTCTGAAAGAAAAAAAATAACACAACAGGTACCTGTCAAGAAAACGTGTAGAAAATGGTTACCATTCTTATTGCAAATTTGGCAGTAAAAAGAATGCACCACACTAAACTGAGATCACTTTGTTAAGCTAACCATCAACAAGTAGCAGTTCTTGACTTCATTACTAATCCAGACTTATCTCAAGCCCCATTAAGCTTCAAAGGTGATGCGACAGCTCGTGTTTCATTTGAACATTTTGGTATCCTGAGGCGAGCGGATGCAATTCCCTTGCTTCCCAAATGTTTGTTTACCCAATGCAATTCGCTTTTGTCAGTGGATGTCAGTGCAAAAGTGCTAAGTGCGTTGCCCAGCTGATTGCTAGACAACAGGTAAATGATCTGAAGGAGAGGTACTTGTGCGATAGCCCTCCCAGTCAAGGAATGAACAAAACGAGTTTCTAGAATGAAATAAGCCAATTCAGACCTATCACAGTGACACGTGTTACTAACACAGACCATACCACCAGGGTTTTCAATGAGAAATGAGAGTTAGTTTGCCCAAAGCAAGCATACCTGCTCGCATGCATGAAAAGCACACGGCTGTGCCAAACGGTTCACTCTGCCTCACCTTTCCACGTAGTCCGCATCCTGGATGACCTCTGCCCTGATGAATCTACGCGCAAAGCAGCAGCCAGAGCAGCACGACATTAAGGACAGCATGCAGTACATAAAGACACATTGATAGCATGCAAAACTATCCAGAAATTCGTCTACATTGCACCAAACCAGAAGTTCAGAATTACATTTTTTTTTCCTTTTTATATTTACTCACTCTACATCTCTGTTACAACATGTGACATAAACTACCTCTGAAAGTTTTTCGAAATGTAACATGTACAGATCACCAGTGTATGAGAAGTCTAAATTTAGAGTTGCCCATGTTCTCTTGAAAGCCGGCACTAATTACAGAACTCTACTAACCTAATCTTCTAGTATTTCTTCCTATAGTTCCATTGACAAGTAGCTCCTGTTGAAAAATTTTTATGTGTGATCTAAATCAGCAAATTAATACTTGATCTGAGAAATTTTGAGAAAAAGCTATACAAACATAATTTGCCATGCAAATAATGTCCCTTTAATTAAAAAAATCTGGCTGATATGCAATGTGTTAGTTGGCATCGGCAAATTAATGAGAACCGCACAGCTTAAAAAAATTGCCGCTGCTGGTGTAGTTACAAAAGCTATAATAAAAAGCACACAAGACCTGCCTTAAGCAACTACACATTAGTCTATGTCAGCCCTTTAAGACCAATACTACACAGGGCTAAATATCTTCAATACATTCTCTACTCTTTAAAGGCAAAGGCTCATTGCAAGCCACTGATAATGATCCCACTGATAACACTTGCCAGTTTAATGATGGGCATGGCATCCTAAGTCATATGTTGAAGGTGTGCAAGATCAATTAAGTTACAAGAATACAGCTATAACGAAGCTGCAATTTATTTATTTATTTATTTATTTATTTAATTATTGGTACTGCAATCCCCTGGAGGCATTTTAGCAGGAGGGTACAAAAGACGTAAACATCAGCATATAAAAGCAAGCAAACAGATGGGACAGCCTATCACAATTATACAAAGCTGCTCTTTCCAAGTTCTGCAATACCACTGTAAGAATTCAGCACACACAAATCTAACAAATCGAAATTGTGCACACCTTCCTAGCACCCACCTAGTGCTGTTTTACTACAATAGCAAAGTTATGCAACTGAGTTGAATTTAAGTTCATGGAATGGCTCAATCTACTTCATTCAGTCGACTCTTCCAGATAAAAAAAATTGCTGTAGCATACAAAAATGCATTAGTAATTTGTGATGGCTATCTATTGTTACCAAAGCGACAACCTACACGCATACTGTAAAATGCTGAGCAAGCACTCCCTACCCTTCCTTTTTTTGGCCGATTTGAAGTATGCACCAATACTCAAGCAAGCGACTCCTCTCCCCGTCCTGCCATTTCCAATGTCATTTACTTTTTATTTGCCCGACAAGGGCAAACAAAAACAGCGAATGTATCCATAATCAATAGAACATTTTATAAGAAACATAGTGTGAGCATGCTTTATTAAAAGCAGCTCTTCTGCTGCCATCTTTAATTTTGATTACCGACTGAAGGGCTGCTCCTCTAAATCTCTCAGAGTTATACTTCACCATAAAGAGGTCGGGGCGGGGCGGCATGCTCTGGATCATCATACAATACTTCTTTGGACACGCTCTGGCATAGAATTTTTTTGCTGCTAATTTCTCAGGCCCTAAAATGCAAGTAATATTTCAAAACATTGACTTAGCATTCTAAATAAATGTAGCATTACTCTTATAATACATCAGCAAGAAAGTAAATTCTGGTTTCACAAATCACACTTGTGACAAATTAAAGCAGACTAAAAGCAAGATGCAAAGACAAAAGGCAGATGTTATTTGCTTTTTGGTCATGGTGCTGTGAATGTCTAAGTTTAAGGAGTAGTGTAAGTAGTTCTAGGTTCGTTATGCGGTAAAAGACAATGGCAGAAACATTACAGTTTTGTATCTACCTTTCTGGCTTGTTTGCCTGATATGCCAAAACCTCCACGAAGTTGCTAGAAGGAAAGACAGTGACAGCAAGAAATTTAGCCCATTTTATGCAACAACAGCCTTGTCTTAAAATTATCATATCTACAGACTAATCTATAAAAACATGGACCCCTCATTTCCAAATCAGCGTCCATTTCTTTCATTCTGCACCCTCCACTGAATACCACTACACCCATAATTGCAGGAGCCTTCAAACTTTCGAAGCACTTTAAGTGAAACCAACAAAAGATACTTGATGACGAAGGAACAAAACGGGTACAAACAGCACTGGACATAGGATAGTAAAAGAACGACAAAGGCGCCGAACTAACAACCGCTGCAGGAGAACTCGAGTTTGGTCTAGTTGGTGCTTACAGTTCGACATCTCGACCGCACAAAACAGACGAGGACCGAGGGAAGTACGACAACGTGGGCAGCAATCTTTCAAGTCATTCTTTCAGAGACAGACATAGCAATACTATACAGTGACTTGTGACATGTGTAGACACATCCGCTCATCAGTCTAGTGGGACATCCCCTTATACTAGAAGAAATGAGTTTCTAACTGAAATAATCTCATAGAAGTATCACTGACACATTCATCGCTTTTCTTTCTCATAAAATGAGCTTCTAATAGCTCTCGAATTATTTGGTCTTGCCTTCTGCTCAGAATCTCATCCCCTGAAATCGTGGTTTACATGCCCAATCTTTACAGTGCGCATGCAGGTGTGCCAAAACGTCATTTTTTTTAACTTTTGTTCGCGTTCCCTGAATCAATCATTCAGGCACCACCCGGTCTGCCCTATGCAGGACTTGCTGCACATCGGTGAAATTGTGCACAGTACTCCTGTAACGCATTTAGCGTATGGCATGTAACTGTGTCTGCGCATGCCACAAGTCACTATATATTGCTACGTCTATCTCTGAATAAATGAGTTGAAAGTTCACTGCCCGTATCATCATATTTCCTTCTGCCCTCGTCTTTTTTGCAAGGTCAAAATGTCAAACGATAACGGCCACGGGTTCATTGCTGCAACATGCATTACCTATATTTCAGGAATATACAATATTCATCCCCCTTGTATGTCGTTCTTTCATCGTCCCGTGTCCAGCGCTATTCCATCTTAATCACGTGCCCACCTGCCCGGTAAGGTGCACTCCCAAGGAATAAAGAAAGTGGCATTCCTAAACTTCAGTGACGCACCCAAATCTCACGCAAGCTCTGTACAAGTATTACAAACGATGTGCTTGAAAGTAAATCTGAGCTCTTTCCACTTTTCTTCCCTCCTACACTCACAGATCATGCATGCCCAAACCTATGCCTGAGCCAACTTCAACTATAGGGTAGTAAAAAGGCAGGAGTTACACCTAGCTGAATACGTCCCCATACCGCTTTTGTAGTACTACTATGCTGAGTGCATATACTGGGCAGGGTACCTACGGGACTGTGCAGAAAGCCGATAAATAACATGATAGCGGGGACAATATCATGATGAACATGACAGAGGTGATAGGACAGCAAAATGCTCGTAATTTCGGAATGTCAAGCTTCTACCATGGAGTGGCACAAACTAAAAGAAAGGCAGCATTATCAACAATCAACGAGCACACAGCAAGCACGGAGTAAACAACACCGCAGAGCCTTCCAGAAGCTTTTTGCCACGTGCACAGCACTGACACAGGCCATGCATTACATGCTCATGCTATTTTTAATAAAATTAAATAATGTGGCACCTCCAGTGCATTATGAAGATATGACACATGTAAATGAAATTTTGTTTAAGAGGTAATAATGCTGAAGGCATAATTACAATGCAAAAAGTCAAAAGAATAGTAACTGTAAGCAAGTGATGCTAGTTATCCCTCCTGTCTGTAAGATGAACAATAATATAAAATTTGAAATTACATGAAACAATGGTTTTAGGATAAAAAGACATACTGCAAGACAATATTTTTCTGCTCCATTTAATCATCATTCTTCTGATAGTCCCATCAGTGGAATCAACATTAACGCTCTTAGTGCCCTAGCCTTATCTGCTTTATGAGCAGCAAAAAATTACAATCAACAAACCTGTTTCGTGCTCTCTGCTTAAACGCCTTAATGATTACACAGGCAGCAAGCATTCTACCAAAGCAACAATTCATACATACATCTTACAAGTGAACTGTCATGAAAATTCGTCTTTCCATAAGTTAATTTTAAATGATTAGTACATTATTACTGAATTAATATTCACAAAGCTGACTACAAAGCTTTCTTACTAACTTTTTCACTAATATCAAAAAAGATGGCCTGTGTTCTTGATGGTTAGTAGTCCCTAACCACAGTCTCGAGACTCACAAGCACAGCATTAGCACTGCACAAACTCAAAGCTCATGCAGAGTAATTGTGCTGGCTCTGAAAATTCTGGATTGTGCATCATTTCCTGGCAGTGCTCATTTTCCGTGTGGTAGCGATATTTACAAACAGAGCTTCAGCGTAAAAATTTACTGTAGCTAACTTCGCGTAATGCATCCGCTCGCTATTCAAAAATACCATTTCACTTAGAAGCAGCCATGTATCTTTAATGTTTCAAGCTAGGCTTCTTGTGCAGTCTGAAATCTCATCACAGCTAGGCCAGTGCTTTGGACTAAATATAGCATCAAAACAACCCCAAGATTTAGTACCTTAGTCGGTAAATCGAGTTTGGTAGGTAGAGGTGCTTATCAGAAACTGTAGTACAGTACTATCATCCACTACATGAAAATCTTAGATGCATTAGGTTTGTCAGTAGTAGAAAAAGTGATCTTTCTCAGGTACAAACCCAACTGTTCTAGGGCCTTTGAAGGGTTAACAATTGAAAAATTGAATGCATAAATCCAAAACATACCTGCTCCTTTTGTCTTGCCCTGAGTCTCCATGACAGAGCTGCCTTTCTCTGCATGTCAAGTTTATTGAAGGAAGCAGTTTAGTTCCTTAAGTACAGAAAATTTTTTACAGAGGAACAGTACAATCAAACAACTTACCAGACTCACTCGTTTTCCTGTTTTCATCTTCAAACCTGCCTGGAAGTGAAAGAGCATTACAATATAAATTTTAAGATTTTGAAACACGCACCCGAGAAATTGGTATAAACAAAACAAGTGGAATTTAAGGACTAATTTTTCTTCATTAGACACAATCTTAATGAGAGCCAAGAGAAAATAAAGAGAAGCAAAGTATAGAGGTCATTATTTATAGTAATAACTGTTGTAGGAGTCACGCCCATCGGGCGGATGGCATAATAAGTGCTGTGTAACATGTTGCACCATCTGTGACACTATCTGTGACAGACATATTTTCAAAAGGAGCAGTGAACACATAAGCCGGACAGTCATCGACAATGCAGCGTCCACAAGTGTGGTGTGTGCCCCATCGAAGCATAGGTTAGTGGTAAACCTGGTAGCCTGTGAGTTTCGTGTAATTTGAGTGCCTTCATTTAATGTCCATCTATTGATGAATTTTTTGAGGCTTTCATCAACTATTTCCATTCCTCAAGGGAAGATGTCCCGAACCCTTCACTGCGATATACAAATGAAGAAATAATTGTGGACTAAGAGACGTCTTGCTGATGGCAGGAACTGAACCTGTAAGCTTTGAACAACCGATTTAATCCTCTACCAATTGAGCTATGACGGCAGTCGTCCTCTTGTTAACTTCATCGGGTATATCTGTAGTACACCCCGTAAAGTAAACCAGGGCACAGCCATTGCCGTAACTCAACTGGCACAGAAGCTCGCATGGGCCTCGAACGAAAATGTCATGCACATGCAGAATAAACAAAAACAAGAGCGGTAATATTGTGACAATGCTTGTCAAAGATCTTGATACAGTAACACAAAACCAAGAACACAATAATACTGGATGAAACACAGGCAAAGTGTTGCTCAGATCACAGCTTAAGCCCACAAAGGAAAAAAGAATTGGAAAACAATCATTTGAGTAACCATCCCAAGCAAAGTGGACAATGCAAGTCACTTGCTACATGGTCCTTTTTATACATATTTATAATAATTCAATATTTTGAATTAGTCTATGGACAGATGTGTACTTCCACATAAAGTACAGTGAATAGTGTCATGTCGTGTACATTATGCGAGTAAAATACCAGCACAAAGCTCCAGCTTGTTTGAATTTGCAAATGAGACAATAATATTGGAATCTGGACTTTTACGTCCCAAACCTACAGTATGGTTACTAGGGTTGCTGTCATGGAGACTTTGAAAATTTTGACCATCTGGAGTTCTTTAATGTGCACTGACATCTCACAACCTCTGACATGTCACCTCAGTTGAAATAGGACCACTGCGGCCGAGATCGAACTTGCATCCTTCAGGTCAGCTACACTACCGCGGGGGACACAAATGAAACGTGAAGTGCACATAAAACCACTCGTATGTAAGCTTTTGAGACACCTTAAAAATCATCGAGACTGAAACTGCAACTTACTGTATAGTTCCTCAGACAGTGGCATGCTTGCTAACGAGTGGTTGATGCTTCCGTTCTCCTTCTCTCTTTCAACTGCACTGCAAATCAAACGCGCATGTAAAGCAAGAAGAGGCATTTCCGCCACACAATACTAGAGGGAGACATACTAGAATAAATTGTAAACATTTTACTGTATTTTTTTCGGCAAACAACTCGTCATAAAATCGAATCACTGTATTCATGAAATGCGAGACAGAATAAAGATGCAAATAAATAAGTTGTGTCACCCCTGCATTCACGCCTTTCTCCCCACAGTGAAATGCATGTACTAACTCCCTTATCCTATCGGTTATTTTTCAGCATTGGCTTGCCTTTTTACCTGCAACCCTTACGTGGCCTGTTCTGCCAGTGATAATTTTATGAGACGATGTAATTCCCGACACTTTCTGAAAGCAATATGCACTTCAAAGATTTCTCCCATCTTGAAAGTTGTGGTTCAACACCCGGACCTCTCCAAAAAGACAAGGGCTGAGCACCATCGATTGCGCTTGATGCAATTACAGACATTTCAGTGTACACGAGAAATACGAGAGGCAGGCCCGCAGCAAGGAACGTTTTCTGAGACCCTGGCTACGGGCTTGATAAAAGGTCCATGCAAACACGCTCCTGTTACCCTTTCTCAAGGTGGAGATGAGAAAAGCAGTCGAGAAATCCACTGTCCACATCCCACACGCCATTGGCCGCCTTTTCAAATGGCAGGCACTCGGGGTGAGCAAGGCGGTAGTATATCTGGAAAAAGAACAGCATACAGAAGACCAGTACTAGAATTACGCAAACTACTAGTGCAAGTAAATGCTTTTATATTTCTTGCAAATTTTAGCTTCAAGTTACACTCTTCATTACAATGAAACAATGAAGCCAAGGAAAGTGTAGGGAAGGTTAATTGTGCTGTTTCAAGCGTATTGTAATAATTGTGACATTAATGTGAGGAAAGTGAAGTGGACGAACTTGCCACTGGCCGGAACGGAACCTGGGATTTTCGGATACGAAAGTTGCAGGTTCATGTCCTGCCAGCTGAAAGTCAGTCGTATTTACTATCACATCTATATCACAATTACTGCAGTACACCCAGAACAGTATAGCTAACATCCCCAATGCCTTCTTTGGTGTTGTTGTGTACTGGTTTGCATTATGGTTGTGTCAAACAAAAAAAATGAGCTGTCAGAAATTCCCTTCCTTCGTTTACTCAACATCATAAGTTCACATGAGGAATAATAAACAGCTTTTATCCCTCTTTTCAATCTACAGTGAGCTGAACTCTAGCCACGAATGGCATATTACAAAGAAGAGCACTGAGGCATCCCTGCTTCCAGGTTGTGCTCTTTGTTGGACTACTAAACAAATATCGCGTGGACACTCTGCAGTGATTCTCCGTAAGAATCAAAACCAAAACTTTCTAAAGAGTAGCAGAATGTTCCAGCTACCAGGTGCTGCACTGGTCGATCAGTACACAAGCAACCTTTTGCTTGTTTGACGAAAAAACATCGAAGAAACCAATTCTCTGATTTCAACCTTTACGTTCATGAAATTATGGCGAACCAATGTCACGATGGCCGGTAAACTTGTTAAGAACCAGGAAAAGACTATGTTCTCTTCGCAAAATCGTGAAATTTTGAATTTGAATTGCTCACATCATCTGTCGACAAAGAATGTCAACAGTTTGCAGAAGACAAAACTATTGTCAAATGCCATTTACCTTTGGCAGCAACAGAGCCGACCAGTTTAAAGCATGTTTCCTTTTACAATAGTCACCATATCTGTGGTGCACAATATACCAGAATGTTAATGTGCAAACTGCAATAAAACTACATTTTTCATTATCAATCAAGTATTTCAAAAACTATTTACATGTTGTAACCCAACAAGAACTATTGCAGGAACAATTTTAATTTCAATCATCAGTACAAAGGGCACACTTCTATGCTTCTGCTTATTATTATCCCTTTATGCATCGCTTTCAGTCATACAAATAATCACGCTGTTTTCCCAGAATTTGTTCTGTCAAAGTGATAATGGAGGTAAAGGGGGACCAATACCACCTCGGCTAGCAGTAAGTCCCCTAATCAAAAAATTGCCTGCGAAGTAAACTGCCCACTACTCAATTTGTTTTTTAAATATGATAAATGAGAGTGTCATTTAAAGAGTACCCTAAAATATATTGATGCGCCCTCTTAAAAAAAAAGGCTGCACTTACACACATTGGCTGACTAGACTTTGAGCACTTGTCATGAGACGACACATGACCATTCGAAACGAGGCTAGAAGCTGATGCCCTGGAAAAAAAAGAGGAATAAATGATAGACGTTATAAAAGAAACAAAGGTTCTGCGATCTTCCTTTGCAAAAATGAGTGGCCTAACAAGAAGCACTGAGTAGGCATTCCAGTGTCAGTGTTCAGAGTTTAAATTCATGTTTACATTTTTTGCTGCGTCCAATCATTTTTCTCAGAAAGAAAAGGCGGCAAGATAGCAGTCATTTGCCATCTCCACAACCACACCACCTTTGTGGGCAAAGAGGGGACATCAATGTACGATGCACGCTGGTCAATGGAGCTTCAGATTGTGCCAAGCGCCCACAAGGTAAAGCCTGGTAATGAGGTTTTATACGCGGTGGCTTTAAGTTGTGTTTCATGACCTACGCTCAGAGCCATGACGCACGCGTGATGTAGCTTCTTTACTCCAAGTCCTCCCTTCTGTGCACCTTCCGATATGCCACTGGTATGAGACAAAGCAGGTGAAATGTGTGACGGGTCTTTTGGACTACACATTGTTGATAAATTTGAAAAATTTTTGCAGCAATCAATTTGTCAAGCAATGTACTGAGATACTGAGGTCAATTGACGATAACTTAGAAAAGTGGTTAAGGACCACCTTGAGGCAAGTTTCGAAAATGTGTGCTGCGAAGCAGTAAAAAATGATAAAGGTCAATACAAATTGAGAAAAGATCCTTACAACCCAGACATTAATGGCTTAAACAAGGTGACATAATAAAAAAAACAATAAGATTCATCATCCTTCACGAGAGAGAGTAAAGCAAACCAAGGATTCCGGTGCCCACCTTGTCGAGTCTGTTGACCTCAAACAGGCACCGTAACGTAATGAAGACACTGCAAGTAAAGATGTTGCAAGTCAAACATTTCACAATGACAGCCTCTGTTAAAATTGATCCCACTAAAAATATAGTGTACCTACATGGTTTTTCTTGCAGGAGACACATGGCAACACTCTCTGCTCTCCTCCGGAAGAACTGGAAGACAGAGACAGCAGTTATAAAATCAATGCAGTTATGTATGCACACATTTAGATTTGGTGACATATTACATGAAATGAGCTTCAAATTCACAGGTGTAACTTCATTAAGAAATCTTTGCTGCACTTCTTTGGATAGCACTTAGTAAAAACTAACATGTTGTTACAGTATAAAGTGAAAATGCAAGCCAGGTTCCATAAGTGATCAAGTTTACTATAACTTTCAGTATTGCTCAGATAAAAAAAATTATGCTGCAAGAATTGTTTGCTCTTGAATATTTTAACTCACGAACTACCTGTCGCATTGTTTATACTTGTTCCACTGTTACACTTTCAACTAAATTTCTTATTCACTTCGTCAAATCTGTATTCTTTTCATATAGTCTAAACCACACAAAATTTTGAAGTACTACTCATAAACGCCCACTTGAATGTTTAACACGTCAGCATAAGTTAACCGAGCGAACAGTTGGCTCAGAGACTAAGGAAAGAAAATGAGCGTAGAACACGGGGGAAAATGAATTAAAGCCATAGCGATGAATGCAAAAGGGAACAATGGAAGCCTGATGTGGAGGAGGAGAGTAGCACTTGAGGAAACACAGTGCTGCATAAACAGAGGTCTGTCTACAGTGAAAAGAGGAGGCGTCTCAGCAGCGCGCTGATGCCCATTCGCTGATGACTCTATCGGTAAGGAGTCTAGAGAGTATGTCTGCCGACACCGTAATTATTGCCGCTATGTTATTGCTGCTAAGATGTGCTCACACATTTGAGCTTGCAGACTGGGGAACTCAAGTCATCTGTTGTTAAGGCAACATGCTGTTGACGTCCTGTGAAGACACAATCTTGACCTGATCGTTTCTAATGCGATAAGGCAACGTTGCTCACCTAGCTATTTATACCTTTCTGTTATCTATAGCAACACCACAACACCTGAACAGCTGCAGTCCCATTCCACACTACGGAATGTCATACTCACTGGTGACTTATCTTTATATTCACGTTATGTTTAAAGCATGTCATTTCGAATAAAACACAACACTTCTGAAATGGCTACGTACTACACAAAGAAAGCTTGGGTCACAGTTAAAATAGCCAAATACCACAGGCTGCACAACACATCTGCACAAATAAAAATACATAAAGTAAAAGCAAAAATATCTTGATAGCAAAAAGAAAACAATAAACTTAGCACTGTAACTAATCACCCTAAGTCACAAATACAATCTGTAATTTTTATAATTTCTCAGAGCAGTGGTACATTATTAGTATCCTCCCCCTAAAGCAAAACCCACTTTGGAATAGTTTCAGTATTTTCCGACCAACTTAAGGGGGGACGTGGCAAGTAAAACTAATTTTTTTATTAATGTACTGTTTGTGATGAAATTTGGTGTGTGTATGTGGATGATTGTGAGGATTCCAAATATGAAAACCGTTTTCAAATACCTCTTGTACTTTTTGAGTTACAAGCATAATTATACTAATTAATGCTCTTCACACTTAAAGAGATAATTATTGCTAAATGAAATTATTTTTTCATATTATTATGTTCCCAAAGCATCAACTTGTGCAAAGAAGCTATTAGTTGATTTTTCTAGTTCTTGTAACCATAAATAAAATTTCCAAAACATGGATGTTGTTTTGCGCACACATCGCAGTAATTATAAAATGTGTTCTAAAAATTTTAAATGATGAGTAAGAAGAGAGATAAAGCTTTATTGCACTGCTAAAGGCCTCCTGAGCCTAGTGCAAAAAACGGAACGACTCTATCAGTCTTTGTTAGAAAATGACAGATGTTCTAGCGAAGGCACATAGGCGAAAATCAAGAGTTGAGAAAACTGACTTTGAAAGTTCACTCTTGTTTAGAAGTTCACAACATGCCTAAAACACTCAGAATCCTCCTGGGCAGTAATCCTGAGATGCTGTGGCCTTGGCCTCTGTAGAGCGCAACCCAGTTTTGCGCTTCTTTGTCGTGGAACAATGCGCCTTTTGAGCCCTCTTTACCCTTTTGGCATCCTTTTCGGCTGCTCGCCGCAAAGAGCAGTCTCCTGGATTGAAGCCCAGTTGAGCAGTGATCTCTTGCAGCGCACTCTTGCAGCCACCATTGAAACGGCAGACTGCATCTGCAACTGCACTTTCCACACTTCGAAGGGAGGCGAACTGGCTCTTGGACTGGAGTGACCAAATGAGGCTGTTCATACTCTCCACAGCGTTCTGGGTTTTTCCCTGCGCACACCTTTCAAGGAGCTCTTTGTTCGAGAGGCGCTTGTAGATTGGCAGCAGTGCCACTCGCACGTGAGGGGGCAGTTTATGTTTGTGAGGCGGCAGCGGCTCTCCCTTGGCCAATGCCTGATTGTGCGGGCACCAGGAGTCAGTCCCACTTGGGCACAGGTCGTGGTGTGGATCCTGGTCTGTGGATGTTACATGGTAATAAGTGGCCATGATGGCCCTCTCCATGCCAGGAACATCGTTGGGGTGGCTCTTAATGGCCCAGCCATAATAATTCGTCAACTTCTTTATCAGGCCCTGCGTCAGCCGGCCTTTGCCACCCATGCTCAGTCCTCGGCCTTTGGATTTGTGCTCATCAAGAAGGTTGCGCAAGGAAGTGCCCATTCTTTTTTTCACATGGTTCACACACTCCTGTTTCTTAATCACCATGTAGCCATACACCTTGTCTTGCGTGAGGGCAAGGTACGTACGGCTGTCACCGTCGCAGAGCACATTGATGTATCGAAGCTTGTGCTTGGTAAACAATCTTTCAAACATGATCCTAGCTGCTTCTACTTCCATTTGGCCTGCATTAGCATCGGTGTTCTTTTGGCACTGTGGCTTGTGTTTCTCAAGCCACTCCTCATAGTTGTCGTCACCAGGCTTGGGGCCAACAGCACAGCCTTGGCAGTAGTTGGACAGGACACAGTGGTCCAAGACCAAGCCTGTGTACAGCTCGATTACACAGCCCACGCCAATATGACTTCTGTGCCCCCTCGTCATCCACGTGCCGTCGTAAATGACGTCAATGTTGCCTGGCACTCCTCCTAGGTCCTTGTAAATGTCATGCACCTTCTGTGCACTTTCTGCTTCAATGCGGGTGGCAGCTGATGTGGTGGCAGGGTGGCTGTACTTCCTTTGCAGTCTCTGGTAGGACTTGTGGTGCAGTGCTCGATGCGAAATGTCCATCGCAGAAAAAATGTCATTTATGGCAGATTGTTTTCTGCCAACTGACTGCACAGCCCTCAAAGCGCGCACGTTTACCTCAAAGGGGTTCGTTTTTTGTTGCCCGGAGCACCTCGGGGACGACCACGCACTGTTCACTATGCCACAATTGTCACAAAAAAGTCCCATCCTCGCCGCGAGTCCAAGGCAGTGCGTTGTCTCGAGGCGTATCGACCCTTCGTCGCACTTGTTGCACTTTACTGACGAAAGCAGACCGTTCAGCATCTTCTTATTTACAATGAAGAATGTGGAGTCCTTACCGCCGTCATTTTCGTCGCAGCCTTCGTTCAGAAGCTCGAGCTTCCGCTTTGAAGCGGACTTCGATGCTACGGCATCCAAAACATCCCGCCTTGTCTGCGCCCGCTGCGCGATTTCTTCACTGCTCGGAATCTGGGCCGAAACTCGCGATAGAATGTTCGACGCGCGCACGCCCGGAGTTGCAACGGCTGCCGACGCGGTGCCACCGCAATCGGGTTCGCGAGAGCGTCCATCACGGTCGACGGCATCCGGCGGTCTGACATACGACGATGTGGCACCTTCCACACTCTCGGCCTCACAACAATCAGCGAAGGGTCTGAGTAGAGGCTCCGTGACGCTTGAAGAGCATGCTCCGTCCGGAACTGCGACTGGGACGGCAGCCGCAGTCGTCTGCCCTTTGTTCCAAGCTTTCCGACGCTTGCCGTACTTGTGGACGCTCCGGAACTTTTTTTGCGACAACATAGCACCGCAGTATGAGCAAGCACTCAGAAGAGACCACCGATGTAAACAAAGCTTGGTAAAAAAAGCACGCGAACTATCACAAAAACAGCAAACTGGCAAAAACCGAAGCGCACGCCGGATGATTCTCGACACGGCGGCCGCAGATGCGCTCGCGCTTCCAAGGTTGCCAAGGTGCGCGGCGCAGCTTTGACCAGTAAGAGGTCGCGCCTGCTACCACGTGACCCGCGCAGCCAATTGCCGTTCTTCGTTTTCGTTTTTTTACTTGCTCCTCGCGCTTTTATTTTCACTCGGCGAAATACGAGACCGCGACCATCGGGAAGCCGGCTTTCTCCTCTTTCCAAAGCTACCAAAATGGCGGCCCACGGTCAACAACTTGGCGCGTTTGTGCGGCGTGAACAACACCGTTTCAGGGGCTTTTTTTTCGCACTTTTCGGCGACTAGCCTCGGTAAAAACACTATTTGCGGGATTTGTAGCGCACGTTTCGCTGTAATATTTTAGAACAAGGAAGTTGAAGGTCTGAAGATTACGAAAAAAAATAAATCAGAAAATCGCATATTTTGACCAAAATCGGCACTTTACTTGCCGCGCCCCCCCTTAACGAACACAGAACCATGCCACCAAGATTACGATACACGAGCCAGGATGTGGCCCAAGCTCAGGGAATTCTGGACTATAGACGCCTCTCTGACGCTGCATTGTCAAAAATAAAGACTTTCATTATCTCTCTTCCTGCAGTTAGTTCTAAAACTAACCACCAGAGGGCCTTTATTGGCTTCCCTATTAGCAATAAACTTGGGCACAAGCATGACCGAGTGAAGCAGGACAAGTCCAGTTCAGTTCTGGAGCTTTACACACCAATATCACCAGAGTTCTTCAATCATACTGGTTCCAAAACTACATTCCAAAACATAGGCATGCCCATAGCCAATCCTGCAGGGGCCTGCAAATTGTCGCAACATCTGGGTGCAGTACCGCAAAACATTAAAAAGCCACGGAGCTGCCCTGCATGTGTTTCTCCGAAGCTGCTCAACGCTGCCCGGCGCCATCACAAGCGTTACTTGGTCAACATATGACGCAACACTAGCAAAACCCCGCGATTTCGCCCAATGGCGAGTTCGGATCTTCATATATGAGGCCCATGGCAAGTTTCAAAACTCTTATGATTGATGAATTCTGCAACACTACAATATAATCATAGGACGTGCCATTTGCGAGTGACTCCAGATAAATTTGGCCCAGCTGGAACCGTTCAACGTGGACCTGAATCTCAAGTACACGGGCGCTAGTGCATTTCACCCCCATCAAAACATAGCCACTGCCATGGAAGGGAAACAAACCTTCCTCTTCAAACTCAGTGACTCAACACAATCAGCTAAGTTACCATAGCACGCATCTAAAACAAGAAACCAGTGCTTGTAAGGTTGATCACCTTGTACGAGACGTACAGCCAGTAGATGCAGAGGATGAAGCCTTTCTTCCAGATGTCTCGCAATGGCACCAGGCCAAGCTCGTAATCCCTCTGAAATGGGATCTTCAGCTCCCTGGGCTGAAAGCAAGGTTAATTGCTGCTTTAGACATTCCCACGTCATTTCTACGTACATTAACTGCAGCAACTACATTTCATTCCCAAATAATTTCAACACCGCTTGAAATGTGCAATGCTTTGTTCTTGCAGGGACCACTAAAGCCAAATAACAATTTATGTCAGAGTGAAAGCGCGATGTTTTTTACAACATACAAAACGTCAATATTAACAGCAGTACCCTACTTGTCGTGAAATTAGGCTAAATCGCACAACGTGCGCAACAAGTGGGACGAACTTGAAAAATGACCTCGATGACATGAGAGCGTCCGACTACAATCAATCACTAGTAATCAAACCAGCTGCAGTAAAAAATACTTGGCGTGCATTACGTAATAAAATGCTGCTTGTCCATTTCTGTTTGATTTATAGAAAAAAGAACCACCTGGAGTTACTATAAGGAATAGCACGAGTGGTTAAAACTTCCGTTTTCGCCTGGTTAGGCTGGATAGGTGGTGCCATCTAGCGGGGCCCAGTTGATCCAAGCAAGCAGAAGATTGTACAATGGCTGTTGCTGCTGCTGTGGCTCCCGCTGCTTTCAATCTGCTGCTACTAGTGTCTTCGGCCACACAATAAAAGCTGTAAAAGTTGGCCACGGTAACAGTGATGTCAAAAAGACCGCTTTTAGGCAGGCGATATAAAGTGAACTGACGTGATGCGGACCACTAAAACCTGGCTTTGTTTCAATACAAGCACTTCCTTGGCCCAAAAGTAGCCCTATGAGGTTCCTGGACCGCTATTTCAACAATCAACATCCACTTAATATTTGCCTTTAATGTCCTTTGGCAGGACAGCCAAGGGACACTTTAGTATAGCTGGACCTGTAGTGTCCAGCTACACAATACATTATGATACAAGTGTAGTAGACTCTCATTAAACGAAAATCTGTTACATAGAATTGCTGCTTAAATAAAATAAGTGGTTCTGACAAAGTTCGTTTTGTTCTTGCATTCTGCACCCTTATTCATCTCTCTGTAAACGAAACTTGTGCTAACATTCAATGTTCCAGATGTGAAGCATAATATGAGCGAGCTTGATCCTGTGACGTCCGCGCACCTCTGCGCATGCCCATCTCCTCCCCCTTCTTTCTTCTCTCCTACGCTCCACCCACCCCTCTCTGTCGTTTCGCAACACTGATGCAGGGAGCTTCTGCAAGCTAGTCTCTTCATTGAAAACCCTGACTGCTTACACTTCCCCCATGTGCATTGTTTAACAGGAGATTTTTCCTGCCCATTGTTGAACACTAAAAATTCGCATCGTGCGCTTTAACTAAAAGCGGACTGTGGGCCTCTATGAGCAATCAGGGTCTTCTGTTTCTCATTTCCCCTTAGTGGCGATTGGCATGTTCCAGTAAAAAACACCGGTCCATCTCTGCATGCATTGCACCTTCCCAGATTTCTCTGCAGCGCAACGCTGCGGTGAGCGCCAGAATCAATGTCGCCGCCTGTGTAAGCGTCAGGGCCCGCTGCTTCGCATCTACACATGGCTCCCTTTAGCGGGAGATGGTGCAATTTTTTTTGCCACTATTCGACTTGAACTCAACTGAAAATGAGTCTAATAATTTAAACACCCCTAGTAATATTCTAATTGAACAAAAAAAGTATTTTCAATGAAATATACTACACTGCTTCAAAGAAATGTTATGTGACTTGTACACAGCCTAACTGAACGACAGTAGTCATAAAAGGAGCTGCTTTTTGCTCTTTCCGTATGTCTCCATAAATGCACGGAAAATGCTATATACTATTTATTTCTTTATATAGCATTTAAACGATGTGCCATTCTCGATTCGTCACCGGTATTATTAGCAGAAAACGTTATCATCATCATCTCTCTTGTTAACATTCTAGTCAATTATTACAGACCATTTTCAGGGAGAGCGGGAGGGGGCGAAACTCCCTGAGCAGCCCTCTAGCCATGCAAATACTAGTGGCGCTTAGGTAGGAAAGCATTCTTTTCCAGAAAGTCCTTCTTTCACATAGTTTTACAAGAACGTTCAGAAGGTTATACAACAAAGCACAGAAGTTTCAAAGGTGAAAGCAATGCAACTTGACCGAGAGGAGCAGGACAACAGAACAGAACGAGACTTTCTATCCTGCACCGAAGGCCCACAATTGCTTTTCACTACGGCAAAACAGTCCGCTGAGGCGTTATCACCTCAAGACTAGCTTGGCAAGGATGAAGGAAGGAGGATCAGCAGGGGGTTAGCTTGGCAAACATGCCATGAAGGCCAGCTCCCCAACAAGCAGCTGGTACTATGTAACTAACTTACATGCGCAAAGGTGCTAGTTCACGAGCTTTTCCAGATAAGAAATACAGGGAAAGCAGGTAGTACTATCAGGCAAAAAGACAAAAGGACGTGTTATCATGTCCCGAGCAGTGCCGATAAGCTGTCTGTCAGGAAAGTAAACAGTGCAAGCGAACACGCCCACTGTCCAAGCACTCAAAAAAATCAATAGACCTCTTCACACAGCTTTTTTCCAACTTCTGCAGCATCACGCTATAACACAAGACTATACTAAGCATAGGTTGTCATATTTTTGAAAAGAGGATTGGTTAATTCAAGAGATTTCATGAATCCATAATATTAACACAGTTCCCATAGAAAGAAATAGCAGTCTGTGAACATAACATAAACTGAACTCTGGTTCTCCAAAGATATACATACACTAGCAATAACATTCCTGGTGTTACCTTTACCTTCATTAAATTACAGAGTACAGAGAGATGCCAAGCAGTTGCTTGGAGAGCAGCTAAAGATTTTACTTGAGTGCGCTTTCTCTGTTAGCAAAGTTGAAAACCTCAACATTGGTGCAAAGAACAGCGCATGCAAACAGGAGCCAGTTGAATGTGCCACCACAGTTTTTTACAGCCTCAAATGCAAACGTCAAACCTCATGAAAGGCAGTGCACACACACAAGAACCTGTGCGAAAAGTGGTCACGGTAGCACAAGAATGTTTAAAAAATAAAAACGGGAAGCACAGACCTCGTGAGGTGGCTCCTTCTCGGTAGCTAATTGCAGGAATCTCTCCAGTTCGGGGCTGAGCCTCGGTAGGTTTAGCAGAGTACGCACCAAGTCCTTGGCTTGGCACTTGATGCGCTGAGCATGTTCAGCCTACAAGGCAACCAGGTGAGCGTGATAAACGAGGCTCATAGCTAGCATTCTTTACGTTCCAATGTCTCTGCTGGGTGACCACAAAGACTGATAGTTTTATGTATATACTTACATAACCTTTCCCCCAACTTTTGTTGTTCTTTGTATAAATGTAATCCTTACAGCCACATATATATAAGAACTCATCCTAATTTTACGTAGCATGGAATGGTGCTTGAGCTTTCCAGGGTTAAAGAACGAAGTTAGCGCAGCCTTCACAGTTTCTGATTCCTAATTATCAATAGAGCCAATAGCTGTGCTAGTTGTTCCACACCGACAGGAACTGCGCCATAAGACAAGACACCAGAAAACAAAGGCGTTTGTACGTTTCCTTTTCTTGCCTCGTTTACCATTTTTTATCATGCATTTCATAACAATACAAAGAGTGCTTGATAAGAAAAATGAGTTTTTAAAAAATAAGTAAAAAAATTGCACTTGCATCAAATGGGCAGCCAGCTGCCAGAGAGTCCTCGATCTCTTGCAGAGCAGATTCGAGCATGTCTTCGTACTTGCTGAGCGACTCGTGAAAGCTTGCCTCAGAGATGGACGATCCATTCAATTTGTCGCGGTGCTGCTTGCACCCTATGTTTACTTGTGGCACAAGAGAAAAAAACGAGATGTTATGCTGACTATTGTGTAAAGAACCGCGACAGATAACGTAAGTATACCTTTCACCAAAAAGGTCAAAAGTTAAATGTCCTTAAAAATAAAGCTGCAGCACACATACAAATAGTTTAATCATCATTATTAGCCTATTTTATTTTTCCTGCACGATGAAGAATTGCAGTAAAAAGAATTGTCCCCCATATCTATTACGAGAAAGTTTTTACGACGTGCCGAAAAAAGAAACATCTCAGATTTACTTAATTCTAGCAATTTGCTAGGTCTGTCATTATATCAGCTTCTGACTTGATTCAACTGTGGTTTCACAAACAGCGACTGGATCAGGAAGAGCTAAGTAAATTAAGACACAGGCATAATAATTATTTACGTATCACAAGAATTAATGGTATTTCATTGTAATGAACTTCAGGGATAACACTAATTGACCCTGTGAGCGCCTGTGACCCTGTGAGCGCCTACGACATATTTATAACAAAGATAACAGAGCTTTACGATCTAGCCTTTCCTTTCGTGGCATACAAAAAACCCAAGAAGGCAAGAAAACCATGGATTGATGCTGCACTTCTAAAAAGGATGAAAGCAAGAGATAAGTTATTCACTGAATTCATAAAATCTAAACGCCTAAAGTACTTGATGGAGTTTAAGCAGGTCAGAAATAAATTAGCGTCTGATATTAAAAAGGCCTAAATAAACTACTACGAAAATAAGTTTGCGAATATACTCAATGATCAAAAAGCTATTTGGAACACTATCAACGATCTTTTGCAACACAAGAATACGAAGACCATTTCTGAGGTTCAAATAGAGGGCAGATCTTATTCCGGTACTCAACTTGCCCATATGTTCAACGACCATTTCTTGAGATCAGGAGCTTCCAATACTTCAGTTGGTGCCGTCCAGCCTTATAAATCGTATATTACAGCATGCATCCCGGAATCCATTTTCCTAACTCCCACAGATGAATCGGAAGTAGCCTTGCTGATAAAGAATTTAAACAACAATTCTGCTGCTGGCTTTGACGGTTTAAAGGCTGAACCCTTGAAAGCAGTTTCAGAGAATATTAGCGCACCTTTTTCCCATATCTGCAATCTTATCTTGAACACTGGAACGTTCCCGGACAAACTAAAAGTAGCTAAAGTGTCTGTTATCCACAAAGGTGGTGATGAAAATGACATGGGTAATTACAGGCCCATTTCTGTTTTGCCCATATTTTCCAAAATCATAGAACATGTGATATATGTACGATTTGCAAATTTCTGTAGCTCAAAAAAAGTAATTACAGAATATCAGTATGGATTTCAGAAGAATAAGTTTACTGAAAAAGCCCTACTATCTATTAAAGATAAAATAATCGATAATTTTGAACAAAAACGCCTCACAATCGGAATATTTCTTGACTTTAAGAAAGCGTTTGATTCTATTAAGCATGAAATTATTCTACAAAAGATTACCGAATACGGAATAAGGGGGTCGTCTCTTAATTTAATAAGAAGTTACCTTAGTAACCGGTTCCAATATACTGATATGAAACACTCAAAGTCTGAAATGGGCAAGATAAATTATGGCGTCCCACAGGGCTCCATACTTGGGCCACTTCTATTTCTATTATATATAAACGATATCGTAAACGTACCTCTAACAGCAGATATTATATTATACGCAGACGACACTAATGTATTTTTTTCCGGTCAGGATATCTCTAGTATAGAAAAACAAGCTAACCTTTGGCTTAACAATTTGTCTCTATGGTTGAAAATAAATCAGTTAGAACTAAATATCAAGAAAACAAAGTACATTATTTTTCACCCTCGAAACCATTCCCTTCTCCGTAATACGCAGCTGTCATTCAGAGGAGTTTCGATTGAGTGAGTTCAGACTCAAAAGTTCTTAGGCGTCATTTTTCACGAAACGTTGAACTGGTCTAGTCACATAGATAAACTACGTACCCAGGTATCACGGTCCATTGGTGTGATTGGAAAAATTAGGTGCTTTCTACCCCTTTGGGTGACAAAGCAACTTTACTACGCTTTGGTTTATTCCCGCATACAATACTGCCTGTTAATCTGGGGCTCGACAACAAAAACAAATAAAATTGGGATTCACCGACTGCAAAAAAGAATGCTACGTATAATCGAGAATGTTCCGCGTCGAACGCCTTCTGCTCCTCTTTTCCTTAAGCATGGAATCCTAACATTTGAAAATATCTTTCATAAAAAGCTAGCGACAGTCATTACGATCAAATCAAATCAAACGCAGTTAAATTTCATGATGCTTACTCCCGGAAACTACCAATGTATAACTTTAGAAGAACCACCTATTACAGTGAGAGGACTCGGACCAACTACGGTAGACAAAAGCTAGCGCACCTTATTCTTTCGTTTTTAAACTCAAATACCATGGCCACCACCATAGTGAATGAAAGTCAATCCCCAGCAATTTTCAAAAAGAAGATACACGCTTATCTACTCATGCTTCAAACGTGATACGTCTTTTTTGTGTGTTAATGAAGTGCAACTCGTGTAGCTTTGCTGAAACGCACTGTAAATTTTTCACTTCCTCACAACAGTTCACAACTACGTTTTTGTTTTTATAGGATTTTAAAGGGCTTTTATGTGTAAAGAGTGCATTTATAGATGTGTAATTATTTCTTATCTTTTCCACGCTCTACGTCTGCACTTTGTATATTTCACTGTATTGAATCTATGTATTTATGCTCTAGACACACATGCTGAGTGTTGTGCATTATTGTGGTCTGGGCAGGGATCGGTGCATTGTCAGGCATTCAGTTGCCTTTTCACCACCCCTTTCCATTCAACCACTGGATAAGTGATCTATGTTTAAAACTATGATGATGAATAAACTTCAAACTTAATTACAGCAAGCATTCAGACACATTTTCACAGCATGTATAGTTTGAACAGTATGAAGAAATGAAAGGATAGCTACATACATCTTCTAGTGTGCTTGACATCCTTAAGAAGATTTCTGATTCCTTGAACAAAATATTTGATGTTGTACAGCTTCAGAGCTAAAGATGCCTTGAATAGGAATGTCCAAGAAAGGGCAAAAAAGACAAATGTCTCATGAACAGAAATGAAACACAAAGATCCTACAAGATCAAGCAAAGTCAAGTTTACAATACCTCAATCAGTGCAGATCGAATGTAGCGTGCATTTTTTACCAATTTCCTGAAAATTAGAATAAATTTCCTTTAAGAAATGCTGCAAGGTGCATGAATGACTGAAAACGTTATGATTATCAACACAACACAGCTTCAAAGCACTTGCTATACTAAAGAAAAGTTTATATGGTACCGTAAAAATAAGCTTAGCATAGGTGAATACCTCAGCTTGTCAAAACCCTATATTAAATACTACACTCCCGGGTCATATTATAATACACACAATTTCACAATACCATACCCTTTGTCAGATGATGCATAGGCAATACACATGGGACGAACAAAACCCCTTGCTTTGTGATCCAACATGACAGAGTAGTTGACAAGTATGTGCAGATCATCTCGTATACTAGGCATCAGGATCTGGCTGTCGAGCTTGGGGAATGTTGATGAACTGAAAAGATGAGAAATTGTAAGAAAACCAATACATTATTTATGATTAGGTGCGATGCATAAGCAGCAATAAACTTAGGAATGCACAGGCTAACACACTGCTATTAAAGCAACATTGCTTCATATTGCCTATACTGCAAGCTCCAGGAGTTGTGTAGAAATTCAGTCATAGCTTGCACCCACTTCATAATTCGATCATCAAAAGGGTGAGTGAAAGATTAGCAATTCCAAGACCTAAATGTTTTGGTGAACAGAGTATTTTTGTCAGAAAAATTGATGCAGCATTTCTAAAGTTGTCAAATGATACAAAGTTAACAAACTTTACGAAAAGTCACACTGAGTGACAGGCATGCTGCTTTGGTCCCATGACTTCGTGACAAGCAGCAAATTGTCACAGCCATTTACGCGAAATAAATGAGCCATGATGCTCAATGAAGAGAAAATTAACAGGAGTACAACATTATGGAAAAGCACTGCAAGAGCATATCACTGTACTAGCACTACCATTGCTTAATTGTATGCATTCGATGCTTACTAAGTATGTCTGTCACTCATTAATGGTGCCAATTTTACTGCATCCAATTGCAGTACACTAATACTGTAAGAAATTCACAGTGTAGTCTACCATTGCTGTGTGATCTAACATGTACTCGTATTTTGTATTTTTGAATTGAATACTCACGCTCCTACTTGCTGATAGTCGACTGAAAGTATGCTGATTACTAATGAATTGATGTCTATGTTCTCCACCCTGTCTCCTATGTTGTGAGGTATAGTTACCTGTAGGAAAAAATAAACAGTGAGTATACATAGCCCATACTGTTGAATGAGGGAATAACATGCTCCTTTAATGAATGTGCGAAATAATAAGCCAACATGAATTCAGTACACGGGACATTACAATGCTTTTATTAACCCAGTTTTTGCAACACCAAAGAACATTTTAAATAAATGCAGTGAAATAAGAGCAACCTTGATTGATATGTGGCATTTAAAGTCCCAAAATCACCATATGATTATGAGAAATGCCGTAGTGAAGGGCTCTGGAAATTCGGACCACCTGGGGTTCTTTAATGCGCACCGAAATCTGAGCACACGAGCCTACAACATTTCCGCCTCCATCGGAAATGCAGCCGCCACAGCTGGGATTCGATCCCGCGACCTGCGGGTCAGCAGCGGGGTACCTTAGCCACTAGACTAGCGTGGCGGGGCGAAGTAAGTGCAATCTTAAGGCAGTAATTAAGCACAAGAACAAGGTTTCAACGGTGCTCAGCAGAATGGGATGCCATCAGCAGATTTATATGGCCCACTTTGGCTATGTTTCATGGTTCGGCAAATACAAAGGCTTGCACAATCAGAGAAATTAACAGAAAGGTCATGTGCTTGTGATGTTACAACTGCGAATAGTTGGTTTTTAATTTCAGTTTCATTTTATTTTAATCGGGAAGGCACAAGTAAAACGAGTGCGATTGTAATTTACCTGCAATTAACCACAAATAATTAAGCGAACCAAAATGGTTTTTTTTTTATTTCTTGGTAACTTCATATAAAGTTTTCTTTTTTTTTTTAAGTAGACGCCAGTGAGTTATTCTCGTGCAATGCTACACTTTTAATGGACCGAGACACATCGCGACAGGTATGCCACAATAGTTCGATAAATGCAGCACCCTGACGCAAATTGGAAGCGTTAGTGACGAAGCTCTGCTCTTGAGATCATTCCGCTACCCCCCACCGGTGAAACTTCACTTTCGCGTACAGCACAGTCTCAGCTCGCACTGCCTATTGTGACCCGTTGAACATGTTGTAGCTGTGTTTCTCCTAGTTTTTTTTTTTGTTATTTTCGCTTGCATAGCGACGAAACTAGCTACACAGGACGACGACACAAAGCGACAGGGGCGCTCACTCACGAGTGGCATGGGCCCGTGGACTTCGTTGCACTCGGCGATGAGAATAAAATCATTGTCTTCGTCGACGAAAGGGTTCTCTTCCTGCGAGAAGAGCATTCCGCTCCAGTCGTGTTGTATAGCCTGCTTGCTGACGGGATCGTCGTCGAAGTCGAGGAACACATCGGCATGTTGCTGCGCCTCCTCGTCTCGATTGACGTAGGCCCGGGCCTCGGAGTGGTGCCCCAGCATGCCAGGACCTGAGACAGTAACACCAGGGTGGATTTGTCGAGCAGCTGGGCACGTCGCCCACCTCTCAGCGCTCTCCGGTTTCGTGCTACCCGGTGTTTACTGCCACCGGAGGCTGTCGAACATGTCGGAACAACAGACCCGCCATCGCGCCTCCACTGTGTTTACACCTCGCGGTTCAGCCGGCGAACGAAGGCGCTTGTCAAATCGGTCCCGCACTTCAACGCGTGGCGGCTCTCCACTCAAGGCGCTCAGAGAGCGCACAGCTACCCTTACACACGGCCAGAGCCAGTCACTAACACATAGCGCTGTACTCCAGCATCGACACGGAAGGAGACGACGACGAAGTACAGAAGCCTACCAAACGTAAAGCAATATCTTCTTTCCGATAAAAGGGCGCGCAGATATAATTGAGGATTACGCGCTACAGAGTTGCCCACCGTCATAAAAACGGAGAAAATTCTCACGGATTGCGCGGAATCCCTCTCGGAGTCGGGTGGTGCGGTTCTCGTCGCTACCGTGGCGCTGATCTTACGGAAGCGACGCTCATACTCGGTGTTTCCGTTGTTGCGATCCCGTCTTCGTTATCGCGCACCCTTACATTACGCACAGAACACAACGTAATTTATTATTTAGTTAGGCTCAAGGACGGGCAAGTTGTCGGGCGTCACATCGAACGCTTGCTAAACAAAAACTGATCGACTCCGATTGAGATATCGAGACATGTGATCTGCGGTGTTGCCAGACCGTCTCGTGAAATCGGCTGAAGGCGATAAACACACACGTACGGCAATGCGTCGTTTCTTCCAGTAACGCAGTGACGTAAGAAGTTGTGGGTTAACTTTTCGAAACAATTTCATCAAAGACATCAACCCTATTCTTAATCAATGCAATGGTTATGACACTTAGAAACGAAAGCACCCAACGTGCGACATTGCACGCGCTGTGTCAGCGGACACGAGGTAAAGAATTGCAAGGTATTTATGGCTTTACGCATGCTTCGTTTTATGAGAATGTCGGGCTTCTTCTGGAGAGATGTACACGCAAACTACCGCGTTTTCCTTCTAAGACCAGCTTACACCAGGGTTTACACAAATAGAAGCATGAGTATCGCTCCAGCGTCCATGATAAGTCGGGGGTTCTCCTCTGTATACGTTACATCAACGACAGTATGTAGCTTTCTGGCACAAAGACATGTGTCTGTAAGACAGAAGTTCTGATTCTTATTTTTTAATTATTTAAATCCATACCTACCAATTCCTCAAGAGCGTAAAATACATATTGCGTTCAACTAAGAAGTACAGCAATATCTATCGCCGTGACATGTTGAGCCAATCAGAATTTCAGAAATGGCGTAGCCATTAAGTGGACCTAACAGAGCTCTTAATTTGGCTCCAGATTCTATGACATGCACTTTTAGATATCTTCGTTATCTTTCACCAGATCTTTCGCCAGTAAGGTTTCAGGCACAGTCAATGTCAAATTGTTGTGTCCTTAAACTTTGCCTTGTGAGACATCTATAAATAAGTTAATACTAAGCTAGCTACTGTTGCAGGTTTAGTTATATTCTTGTACTATCGTATGCTACCTATAAAGGTAGTTGAAGTGGATGAATATGCAAAATAAAAGCCAATGTTTTATCCGACGAAGTTCAACTGTTCTTTGTGCGTGCTGGTTTGACATGTGCTAATGAAATAGGGTGAGGGGCACCGATGGAAGAAAACTTATTAAAGTGGTTACATCCTAGAAGATAAATTACTTAGCCTACAGAACGAAGTGTTTTATTATATATAAGCACGAAGGAGCTTTGATTCGGTTGTCTTTGCCCACTTTTCAGGAACCAATATATAATATTCAACATTAACAGTATATAATGTTCAACATTATGATCGAAGTTGCACATTAGTGAGATTGTACCATTACACACTCTACTATCTGGTGTGGTCTCGATAATTTCAACTAAACCCGCTAAAAGAGAGAGTGTGCGTGCAAGTTCAACCAGACTCATGGGGAACAAAATTAATAGTTGGTCCACGCCTTCCAGTTTAAAATAAAATACTGTTACCTGGGGTGCTATTCCTAACATGTCGAATTGCGTCATATGTTGTCCAGTTCATCCTTTCTGGTTGACCCAGATGGCCACCATGATTCGCTGACTCGTCTAAAATGCGGCCAATACGCAGTTCTCTAATGGGGTGAACTTCTGCGGTGTCCATAATAGCATTTCAGGCCTGTTAACAGTTCTTTTTTTTTTTTTTTGCACAAACTCCGCAAGCGCTTATGTAGCGCAGTGATTGTTGAAACGCATTGGTACTTAAAATTCATTAGCGCCGTCCAATTCTGTTTGATATGCATAACCAACATGAATTTTGCCTTTTCAAAATGTCTGCATGTGTCGACTGCGAAGAAATGCTTCTGGTGCCCGGAATTCTGGTTCTGCTCGCCGCATTTGCGCAATCCAAGAGTGACCCCGACCAGCTGCCGCTAGGAATTAAGGTGAGCAGTCCGGTAACGAGAGATGTGAAAGCTAGAAAATGGATAAATGCATAAATAAATAAATAAATAAATAAATAAATAAATAAATAAATAAATAAATAAACAGAGAAAGAAAAAGTTTGAACATGTGTTAACCTTGCAAAAATGTACTTTTCTGAGTTTTTGATTCATCCACAAATAGTCTCTCAAAACGTTTTGTGTGTGCATTTATAATAATATGCCACTATAATGCCAGCGAGCAAGGTGACCTCTGACCATCGACTGTCCGCATAAGAATGTGGTCGTATCATGAGAAAGTGTTCGCAATCGCTAGTAATTCAAAATATTTCTGCAAAATCTTTCATCCTAGACAATTGCACACACTTATGTGAGAAGTGAGCGAGTGAAATTCCGTTTCGAAATATGTACGAACAAACACGCGTTCAGAGTTTGCGTAACATAATGTGGAGGAAAATATTGTTTTGAAAAAGCAACGTATATTCTTCGAACATCGCGCACGCCCTGCGTGTTGCCGGTTTTAGATACCTTAAAATAGCAACAAGTAAAAAAAAAGCTTGTTAATGTCACCGTAATATAAAAAGTACATTGAATATGATTTATCTACAGGAAGAGACGCATAATTTCAAAAAAACAATGCAGTGTGGTCTTGGTATGGTTTGGAAAACAGGCTGTAACTCGTGAACAATGGCGACAGCGAGATAAATCTTTTGATTGATATGTGGGGTTGAACGCCCCAAAACCACCATATGTATAAGAAAGATGCCCTATAGTGGAGGACTCCAGAAATTTCGGCCATCCGGGGTTCTTTGACGTGCACCCAAATCTGAGCACACGGGCCTACAGCATTTCCGCCTCCGTCGGAAAGGTAGCTGCCGCAGCCGGGATTCGATACCGCGACCTGCGGGTTAAATTCAGGTAACGTTAATTTTGCGTAGCAACATGGCTTTATAACATCACGTGAAACGCATTTTAAGCAGTTGTACGCAAGAATATTATTATTTCATAGTATTACCTAACTTCAGAAGCGTTAATGCGAAATTACTGCGGTGGTCTATGGTGGGTATCATGTTCGACTGCAGATTCGAAGGTCGTGGGATCGAATCCCGACCACGGCGACCGCACTTCGACGGAGATAAAATGCCAGAGGCCCGTGCGCTTAGATTTAGGTGCGCGTTAAAGAATTAAAGAAGCGTGCGTGTTCGAAATTTCCCGAACCCTCTAGTACAGTGTCTCAAAATCGGATCTTGGTTTTGGGACATAAAACGCCAACAGTACAGTTGTTATTACAAGTATTGCTGAACATGAAACGACGCTTCGCAAAATTCACTGCGAACAATTTCTCGTCACTTCAACATTCCATCTTCACCTGAGGCTTTGTCCTTTTTCACGAAAGATCGGATGTTGGAAGGCCATGTTTTGGGCGTGCCGCGGTATGCACTATGCGCCGTGTAAACTGAAATGGGCGCTGAAATTCATGCTGACTCTAGTGAATCCCGTACACCGGTGGCTTCGTGTCCCCTCCACCAATCATCGCTTTGCCCAAATCTCTGCAAATGGGGGACATGTGCCTCTGCAGTTGGGTGCAAGTGTGTGTCGAATCGGCATGCTACAGCAAGCATGGCTTTGTATGACACGCAAGTAACCTGATTATGAAAGTAATAATGAGCAAATGCGAACTATAGTAATGAAATAATACAATGACTACTTGACTAAGTTAACTACATAATAGTTTGATTACAAATAAACAAGGGAGCTAAACAACCTGTTGGCTAACTATATGTAACCATCATTGGTTTTTTTTATAAAGCAAAAAAAAAATAAACGAACACTGCATGAAAAATGAGCATATTTATGTTTCCCGAAATTCGACTGGCATGTCAAGCTAAACGAATGCAGATAAATTCATGAAAGACAGATACATCATCTTATACAAAATGCGTTGCAGCGGTGATATTTATGTATATTTTAGGAGTTATGTCAGTATTCAAGCTTACATCGGATTCTTGACGGTCGTCCATAGTTGAAGAAGAACCTCAGCATTCCAAATTGGGTTTCCAGCAGGAAGCCCGCGTGAAATCGTCTTGTTCGATTGCTTCTGCATGGCAGCGCGCACAACGTGGGTGGGTACGAATGCTTGAGATAAAGGGCTTATGACAAAGGTCTTGAGATGCTTAAGATATGCTTAAGATAAAGGTTTTAAGATAAAGGGCGAAATTCCAGATAGGCGGCTCGCTGGGGCTCCGACACTTATCACTTATCGTTGTTGGTTCTTACAAATACCATTAACTAATCGCTTATTTAAAAAGAGAAAAGAAAACCTTCCGTCACTGCCACCTCTCAGCATTAACGCTGGCTGACGGGGACGTGTAAGCAGAATTTTTTCGAAGATGGGGGGTCCGTTACCTTTACATGAAGTGGGGGCCGGGCATGTAAACAGCCATTTCGTGATCTGCATACCATGGCGAAAAAAAAAAGAACGGTATGGGGGGGAGATAGACACGGGCCCTGTGTGCCACTACCTGGCTGGCTACGCCACTGCTGGGTGACTACCGAGATAATCGAAGTACATGACATAGAAGAAGCGATGTAAATCATATGGCCTTTTTAGAATTGTTGCTACACACATCCGTACGCAATCAAACGTTAGCTATGTATACGAATACATGGAGGCGTTGTATATAGCTGTTAATTCAACTGTAGTAACTTTAATGAAACATTCAAATGGCCGAAGAGAACATGCAACTTGCCGTAGGTGTCGACTGAACCAACAACCCTCGCATACGCGTGCCATGCGAATGTTTATTTACTTAGTTATTAGTGAGGCACCAGCCTGTGAATACCATGTGCCGAATGACACCTTCTGACAAGGAGAGTTTTCAACAGACACTTCCAACGGGCATGTTGAAAAAAACTACGCGGGATTCTAACATTTCGCCTCCATTGAAATGTGACCGTGGCAGCCAGGTTCGAACCCGTGACCTTCGAGTCATCAGCCGAGGGCTTGTTAGTATTGATCCAACGTTGTAAGAGCGCGAAACTTATCCAAGGACAGCTTCAAAGACGACAATCTACAAGTGACTTTGCTCTGTATGTTTATTTAGTAAAAGTTTCTCGCGCTGCAAATGATGAATGTTCAACGTACTCCGCTGTTGCTGTACTAGTGGCCCTTGCTAATAATACCTAGGTTATACCGTATAGTGCCTATAGAATACATACTTTATCCGCTGTCAGGGTGCACCTGGTAGTGCGCAGCACGCTTAAAGGGTGGCGCCGCTTCTCACGGTGAACTCGACGCACGCGCCCCACTCCGCCGCAAGGGGTCGCGCTCATCGAGAAACCCCATTTTCACAACGAGAGTGGGAAAGGGCTGAGAAAAGGGTTCCTAGTAGTACATCAACAGGCCCAGATGGCATTCCAATTAGGCTGATAAAGACATTTGGTCCGAAGTCTAAGCAGGCTTTGAGAGAGACAGTGAGCAAAATAATAATCGATGGTGAAGTTCCCGATGGATGGAAACTTAGCAGTATGAGCATGATCTATAAAGGAAAGGGGGACAAAGCTGACATAAACAACTACCGTCCTATAACAGTGACATCAGTGGTCTACAGGCTGGCGATGCAGATTATAAAGGAAAGACTGCAGGCATGGATAGAAGATGAGGGGGTGCTGGGGGAACTGCAGAATGGGTTTCGGAAACACAGGAGGTTGGAAGACAATCTGTTCTCACTGACGCAGTGTATCGAAATAGCAGAAAAGGAACACAGGCCCCTGTGGCTAGCATTCTTGGATATCAAGGGAGCGTACGATAGCGTGGTTCAAGAGGAATTGTGGGGAATACTGGACACACTAGGCGTGGAACATGTAGTCACTAATCTTTTAAAGGGTATCTATAAAGGTAACAAGGTAGTTATAAAGTGGGAAAAACAGATATCCAAGCCTGCAGAGGTAAAACGGGGGCTCAGGCAGGGGTGCCCCCTGTCACCCTTATTATTCATGATGTACCTACAAGGATTAGAGGCAAAATTAGAGGGAAGTGGGCTGGGCTTCAACCTCTCTTTAGTCAAACAAGGAAAACTTATTGATCAGGCACTACCAGCATTAATGTACGCAGATGATATAGTGCTAATGGCCAACAACAAGGAAGATTTGCAGAGATTGATGGAGATCTGCGGTAATGAGGGAGATAGGTTAGATTTTAGGTTCAGTAAGGAAAAATCAGCAGTCATGATTTTCAATGACAACGAAGGCAGTGAGCTTAGGATACAGGACGTCACGCTAGAGATAACATATAAATACAAATATCTGGGCGTATGGATAAGCAATGGGACCGAGTACCTGAGGGAACACGAAATATACGTGACGACTAAAGGTAACAGGAATGCAGCAGTGATGAAAAATAGGGCACTGTAGAATTACAATAGGTATGATGTTGTGAGAGGAATATGGAAAGGGGTCATGGTTCCTGGGCTGACGTTCGGCAATGCGGTCTTGTGCATGAGATCAGAAGTTCAAGCAAGATTAGAAATTAAGCAACGAGGAATAGGTAGCCTTGCTTTAGGAGCTCACGGGAATACACCAAATCAGGGAGTACAAGGTGATATGGGATGGACATCATTTGAGGGCAGGGAAGCTAGCAGCAAGATAAAATTTGAGAAGCGATTGAGAGAAATGAAGGAGGAGCGTTGGGCTAGGAAGGTTTTCAGCTACTTGTACATGAAGAATGTCGATACAAAATGGAGGAAGCGAACCAGGAAGTTGACTGGTAAATACTTAGAAAACAGCAGGTGGCCAAACCAAAAAGAACTATCGGTTAAGAAGAAAGTGAAGGAAACGGAGACTGACATGTGGAAAATGGGCATGATTAAGAAGTCCGCACTAGAGATCTATCGAACTTTTAAGCAGGAAATTGCCAAGGAAAGGATCTATGATAATACTCGGGGTAGTTCTCTACTGTTTGAGGCAAGGACGGGAGTACTGCGAACCAAGACATATCGGGCCAA